TACGTCTTTCTCATATTTGCCAAGGTGCTCATTCTATAGTGCTTAAAACTGCTCATGTCTGACCTCTATAGGATGACTTATATCTTTAACTAGAGGCCAAATGCACAAAATTTGTGCAAGGGGCTCAGCCCTCACAGCCCTGCTGCCTTGTGGCCCACTCACTGGTCATTCCGGAAGGTCGTTCTGCCATTCGGTCTAAGTAGCATAATAGCTCTTTATTATACAGGATAACTCATTATTTATATGGTCTATCCTTATAAATTAAGCCCCTTTACAGGCTTACACCCATCTTTTTTTATCTTATTTTCTATTTTTCACATATATCAATATTTCCCAAGATTCGTTATAGACATTACTGGAAAGAGAAGTGTTTTGTTATCAGATAAGCTTGGGAAATACTGGATTGAACAAAAGAAAGCAAATTTATCTCTGAGCTTTCTGAGCTTCTTAGTTCCTTTAAGCATGCTAATATACACTGTAAATTTTGTTAATACTAATAATGCAGTGTAAGTCTTCAATCTGGTATAATTGTGCCAAATGTAATTACCAGGAAATGCTTTTGTTTTTCCATGACATCTTTAAGTGAAACTCTCCCTGACTATTTGCAGTTTGGTAAATTCCTTTAATGGTTATTCTGTTCTGCCTTCTGTTAGTGTCCTTATTTAACAATGAATCTTGATCTCTGAGTAGATAGGGAGCTCCTCTAGACTAGGTTGTCTATATTCCAACTTTTCTCTCAATTAGCTCCCCGAACAATAGAATGAATAGTTGAATTTTGAGAAAAAAGATAAGGCATACAAATATCCTGGTTTTTGGAGGAGAAACAGATAACTGGAGGGTGGCTGAGAAGAGGACAGACAGGTGATCATTCAACAGACACTTTGGAGAATTATATAGTGTTTGAACCTTAGGTGAGTACTAGATATTATAAAAAAGGATTTAAAAAGTAGTCCTCTTACAGGGAGTTTGACCTGATAGAAGAGATAGATGATTGATTGATTGATTGATAGATAGATAGATAGATGATAGATCGATAATTGTAACAAATACGAATCCTCTTACTGGATACATGAAAGGTTTTGCATAATGGTGTCAGTAAAGACTTCACAGCCCAAATCAGTTTTGCCTGCAGACTGAAGGATCTCAGGTTCAATTCTGGTGAAGGGGACATGCCCGGGTTGGTTGTGGGCTTGATCCCCAGTAAGGGGGTGTGCAGGAGGCAGCCAATCAATGATTCTCTCTCATCATTGATGTTTCTATCGCTCTCTTCCCTCTCCCTTCCTCTCTGAAATCAATAAAAATATATTCTAAAAAATATATATTTTAAAAAATCAATGGAAAAAATATCCTCAGGTGAGGATTTAAGTAATATTTGATCTGAGCCTTGAAAAATATCAAGCAAACAAAGAAGTGGGCAGAGAAAAAAACATCTTAAATTAGAATGTTATGAGCAAATTTATGGAGGTATAAAAATACAAGACTAAGCCTTAAGTCTGGTTTGGTTAGTTTCTGAATTCGCAATATAGGAGCATAATCTGGGGAAATGACTAGAGCGCAATCTGAAAAGGTAGACTGGATTCCAACTGATAGGCCAGACTTTGGTTTGAAGGATTTTAAGCAAAAGAGTAACCTTTAGAACTAGAATTTGGATTGGAGTGGGGAATAAGGAGATCTGATAGTAAGTAGTTCCTTGTGGTTGTCTGGCCAAGAAATGACATGGGTTTGAATTAAGCCAGGAAAAAGAAGATAGCAAGGGTACTGTTTATTGTGACAACTTGATCCCTATCTCCCACCCTTAATTTGTAAATGAAGTTACATGGCCTGGAGCTTGGGAGTACAGGAACATGTTTCTTTATTTTTAAAGTTTATCTTTATTGTTGAAAGTATTACAGTACTTTTTTTTATTACAGTCCTCCCTTTTTTCCTCCCACTGACCCTATCACCCGTAGTCCTTCAACCTCACTATTGTTTGTATCCATGGGTTATGCATATATGCATATAAATTCTTCGGTTAATCTCTCTCCCACACACACACCTTCCCTCTGAGATTCATCAGTCTGGGAACACTTTTAACTACCAGGGTCTGTTGGAATATAATCAAATTCATACTAATGAGATGTTCCCCTCCAGGGCTAAAGTTAGGTAATGTTGTGGTCTAGACTGTCACACATTATGATGTTTCCAAAGACTTGGGAAATTAATAAAATTAGTAAAAATGTTATGTATGAACTTAAGGGGGAAAAGGTTTGTACCTGTATTCTTAGCAATGTGTAATTTCCTGCATCTTCTATTTAGCTTCTAATTAAGCAAACGCTTAATGCTTGATTAAGCTGAGAGCAGGTTAGGGGAGAGGTTCCAGTGTGAGACCTGGGAGAAAAGAGACAAGTTGGTCAAGGCAGATTTGGCCTCTCAAGGATAAGCGTTTTTTCAACTACCTGGGGAAGATTGCCCTATTTAGAACTTAGAAGTTTACCCCGAAAGTGATTTTATACAAAATTTTAGGATTAAGCGATAATACCTGACATATACTCTAAGCCAAATAGGTACATGGATAAGTTTAAAAGATTGCTTTAGGGCAGAGTAAATGGCCCAGGAGAAGAGCTAGAATGCCCTGGGGAAAAGTAAAAATACTAAGCAGGAAAAGGTCTCTATCGTTCATTCAACATAGGTATTTTGAACATAAATTAGAGTGCTAGACCCTGGAGATTAAAAAATGGGTGATACTTTTCCTTGAGTGTAGTCTGATTGGGGAAGTATGCAGATGGTTACAATCTAATGTGATAAATATTATGAAGTAATTGTGTTTCTCTAGGGGCCTCTCATGGTACACTCATGCCAGAGTAAATTGCAGCCTCCAACCATTGCCCAGCCTCCTGAACTGTGAGCTATGAGCACTGAAGGCATTGTACAGTGTGTGTGTGTGGGGGGGGGGGGGGGGGAGTGTAATTGTGCACAGGCATGAAGTAGGTAACCAGCTGCCTGGAGATTTAGATTTTACAGAGATGATGACATATGAGCTGGTTTTTACATGGATAAGTATTTGCCAGGGCAAGTAAGAAAGGGTTATTTCTAGACAGAAAGAATAGTGTACAAAGACAAGGAAGTTAACAACAACAGAAGTGCTATGATTTTATGCCATTCCTATCAGGGCAAGATCTCAAATGCAGTTTCAGAACATGTTTAGGAACACTTGAAGGTGACAAGCACCTATACCTCCATTTTGGGGATAGAAGCTAATGTTTGTAGATTTTGATTAGCACAGTGTCAAACAGCATGAGTCAGGAGCAAGGAGCCCAGACCAGGTGCCCAAAAACAGGAATGCCAAATCTCATGTCCTGAGTAACTCTGTGTTATGGTAATAGATGGTGTTGGGTTCATGAGTATTTGGGCTTATTTTACTTCCTTAGAACCAAATTCTACACCTAAAATTGATATTGTAAGTCCTATCAAATGTTCTTATATTTCAAGAAGAGGTTGGGAAATCTATGAATAAATATTTACTCCCACCATGTGAGGTAGGAATGGATTATGAAATACTCAAGGCTTCCTGACTGGTAGTCTGTCTAATTTGTATCATCAGAAGTTGGCTTAATATTTTTCTGAGATCATTCAGTACCTTTTCCATTTAACACACAATAGCAAGCAAGTCACTTTCTTCAGTAAAAACATTGTTTATCTTTAGTAGTTAATTTTGCAGTTAGATTTGCTCAGAACTCCTACAGGATATGAATCATTTGCATTCAGACGTTGACTTTGCTCTTTCTGAGAAGGGTTTTAATAGAGCATATATATAGATGATATCTTGTTATTGATAGGTTCAGTGCCATCCTCAAATCAACTTCAGAATCTATGATAAACCTGAGAACTTGTGTTTCTCTTATCTAGTGTACATTCAACTAAACAAATAAACCATAGGATAAATTCAAGAAAACATGATTAGCCTTTTGTGTAAATGTTTGAGGTTTTTGGTTATTGTGGGAGAGCATGGAATAAGGGACAACAAACCCAAATGGTAATACCTAATCATGCAGTCATTGACCTGTCAAAAAACTGTGTAAAATTTAACAACTGCTGTTTTTCATTTGTTTCTGTAAATTACTTTAATTTTTTTAAACAAGTGTCTACTTGTTAGTGTAATCTTAGCATTTAGTTGACATATTTAGAATTAGAAAGGCTAACAGTTGTAAATATATTGAATTGTTTATGGGAGAGTAATTTTGGGTAAATCAACATGAGTTATAAGAAACAGTTTGATGGTAGTGCTGATACATTCTGAATTGCCCATCTTTATTGAGAATGTGGGTCAGAAGAGAGAGGAGGAGATATGACCTTATTTGTGCATTAATTAATGACATAATGAGTGATATTCTTGGATTCTAGAGCCTGTCAAGAAAGAAGATATTTCAAAGTAAATATTTGAGGAGGAGAGGTGAGAGAGAGAGAGAAAAAAAATGAGAGGGAGAAAAGATACAGAAAGATAACATGAATCCATCTGTAGCTATTATCTCAGGCTGAGGTCAGACCAGCTTCACTTTGGAACTTAAAAATGAAAACATATACTTGCTTTAGTTTTTGCTATAGCTTTTTATTTTACAAGTGTTCTGTCCCTGTGTAAACAAATTCTAATCTCTTTAAATATAGCAAACCATCGGAAGGAAATTGTTTTGTATCTTGTTATTTACGAAACTTGCTGAGACAAACTGTTCCTAAAGCAGCTTAAACTATTACTTGGTATATGCTATAAATTCAGGTGAAATAGGACCCCCCCCCCCCCGTTTTTCCCCAGGAAATAAATGATTTGTGTTTTTAGAATTTCAAGAAGAAATTGACTTTCTCACACAGCATATGTTTCACAGTTTGTTAGGCACAATTGTGCATGTGTGTTCTTTTCTTTACATCACATGTGGTGGTGGAGTGCCAGTGTTACTCCACTGAACTGATGACTGTCTGTCTGTCTTGGTTAGATCATTCTTACTATCTCTTCCTATTCCCTTACCCAGTTATGCTGTGATTGCCTATGGCTGTGCCAGCTGCCCAAAGCTGACCTGTGGGAGGGAAGGCTGCCAGACTGAGTTCTGCTACCACTGCAAGCAAATATGGCATCCAAATCAGACATGCGATATGGCCCGGCAGCAGAGGGCACAGACTTTTCGAGTACGGACCAAGCACACTTCGGGTCTCAGTTACGGACAAGAATCGGGACCAGGTATAAATTGACATTTTCTCATTTGTCTATTTTATACTTCATACTTGTGAGCCCAAAGCTGGGAGAAATTACATTACTGTGTAACGAAGTATTTCCTGGGATCAGAGATCAGAAAATATTTGGCAATACTTTCAATATTATAATTGATATGTAACTTCCCTCTCTGACCATAATAGGTTATCCAACTCGGGTAAAATCAGAATACAACAAAATTGATTTCTCTGGTTTCCACCTTCTTAGTAATATGTCCAGGTTGGAGAGCAATTAGGTCCTTTGACTAGAAGCTTTTTGAAAACTTTAATTGTGAGCGAAGAAACATTTAATTAGTGTTTTAATCTGTAGTGTTTTCCTACTAGCTTTAAGTGCATCACACTTTTAGAAGTAGGGTACAGATCCAAAGTCAGGAAATATTAGTATGGATTAATGATTAACCTTAAAATTAGGAATGTCACACATTCAGTTCCAACCTTTACAAGTCAGAGAAAACATTTTAAAATGTCAGTGGGTTTATTGCCTTTTATAAATGTACTTACTGCACTGACGTCATTTGGGAGAAGCTAGGAGGAAAGATTTTACCATTCACTTTTTCCTGGCACAGCATCAGCTCCTCAAATTGTCATTTTATAGGATAGTTCCTAGCTTGCTGTGAAGATTGCCAGGTGTATGCTACAATACATAGCATACCGCATTGTTTTTAGGTTTTTAATTTGAAAGAATCTTGGGAAGGGACTGTGGGTTGCGGTAAGAGCAAATCACAATGAAACTTGCTGAGTCCAAGAAATGAATTTCCTGAACTAAAGTTTTTCAAAACTTAAAGGCCAATTCCAGTCTACAGACTCTTCTTCCTGCTTGACTCTACTTTTAATTGTGCCAGCCTTTTGGCTGATGAAATTCCATTTTTCTTGAAACCATCTTTCTCTAGGGAAGTCTCCTTGCTGAGATTATGGCTCGAGTGGTGTGTAAGATGTTAGTTTTTGAGATAGGCAGCTTGATACAAGATAGGATCCATTTAGTGAAATTTCCTAAGGCCTAGACATAGGCAGCCTTCCAGTGAAGTGGGTTGCACAATTTGGAATTCTCAGTCAAGAGTTCCTCACTGCCTCCTTTTTTATGTTTACTCCTATGAGTATACATAAAGTCTAACAAGATTTAACTGGAATTGTTTTTCTGCTTATTCCTCACTCCCCCCTCCCACCCCTTAGCAGATGACATCAAGCCATGCCCACGATGTAGTGCTTACATTATCAAGATGAATGATGGGAGCTGTAATCATATGACCTGTGCAGTATGTGGCTGTGAATTCTGTTGGCTTTGTATGAAAGAGATCTCAGACTTGCATTACCTCAGGTGAGTTGAAAAATGTGTCCATTGCTTTTATAGTCTTATTGACTGAGGGAAAAGGATGTCAAAAAGATATCCTATATAATAAAGAGGTAATATACAAATTGACCATCACTCCAACACACAAGATGGGCACCACAAGATGGGCAGCAGGGCCGAAACTGGTTTGGCTCAGTGGATAGAGCATCGACCTATGGACTGAAAGGTCCCAGGTTCGATTCCGGACAAGGGCATGTACCTTGGTTGCAGGCATATCCCCAGTAGGGGGTGTGCAAGAGGCAGCTGATCAATGATTCTCTCTCATCGATGTTTCTAACTCTCTATCCCTCTCTCTTTCTCTCTGTAAAAATAAATAAATAAATAAATAAAAAGATGGGCAGTTGTAGGTGATGAGGCCTGCAGGGGAGGGCAGTTAGGGGCGAGCAGGCTGGCGAGGAAGGGATGTTAGGGGTCACCGGATCAGCAGGGGAGGGCAGTTGGGGTCGTCTAGGCCTGCAGGGGAGCAGTTAGGCATTGATTAGGCTGGCAGGGGAGTGGTTATGGGGTGATCAGGCTGGCAGGCAGAAGCAGTTAGGGGCAATCAGGCAGTCAGGCAGGCGAGTGGCTGGCAGCCAGCAGTCCTGAATTGTGAGAGGGAGGGACACTCCCCTCTCCCTTGTGTATGAATTTCGTGCATCAGGCCTCTAGTATATATATATATAGTTGGCTGTCATGTCATTACCGCATAAGGAAATTAATAAAGTTCTGAATCACCCCTCCAATCATGTTTTTTTCCAGCTCAGCAAACTTCCATGGACTGTTTCCATTACCTTCAAGATAGAGTTTAATTTTCCTAGCTTGGCTTTTAAGGCTTTCTAAGTTTGTCCCCAATCTACTTTTCTGCTTTTTCTATTTTGTTTTCATACATGCTGTATTCCAGATACACAATCTAGGCTTGTGTTCCCTGTGTCTTTCTGTGCTACCTTACTTTTCCATACTTGCTAACAAAGTTCTTTACCTTGCCTGAAATGCTTTCTGATCACCTCTCCCAGCAACCCTATTTTTAAAAAATGTTTGTTTGTTTATTTATTTTAGAGAGAGGAGAAGGAAGAGGGGGGAGGGAGAAACATCAATTAGTTGATTCCTGCATGCACCCCAATCAGGGATCAAACCCGCAACCTGGGCACGTGTCCTGATTAGGAATCAAACCCACAATTTGTTGTTGTGCAGGACGATGCTCAACCAACTGAGCCACACCGGCCAGGGCACCAGCAACCCTATTTTATCTCAACCTGTTCAGTTCTTACCCACTCTTCAAGAGCCACTTAAATGGTATTTCATCCGTGATGCCTTCCCTGGCCTTTTCTGCCTCATTTTTCATTGATTGTCCTTAAATGTTTCTTTCTGAATATCATCATTACTTTTACTTCATGTACATATCTAATTTTGCTAAACTGTATTAATTCTTAAGGCTAGAATTAGACTTAAGAATTTCTAGTTCATTGCATGTATAAGTTTTCAAAGAATTTATTGAGTGAATATTAAAATATTGTCCTGAAGGAGTTAATATTTTAAAATTTAATACTTGTGTGGATGAAACACTTTAATTTCTAGTTTAGCAAACATTTGAGTACTTATAGTCTACCAATTAATAGAGATATAAGGGTGGATAAGATATAATCCCTACTTTCAAAATTGTTTATCCCATCTGGTAGAGAAGACAGGACAAAAGAAGAAAGTAAAAATGGCTGAACTTGCCCTAGCCAGTTTGGCTCAGTGGATAGAGCGTCAGCCTTTGGATTGAAGGGTCCCAGTTTTAATTCCAGTCAGGATACATATCCTCAGTTGCTGACTTCTCCCCAACCCAGGCCCTGGTGCAGGAGGCAACCAATCAATATGTTTCTCTCACATCAATATTTATTTCTTTGTGTCCTTCCATCTCCCACTCTCTCTAAAAATCAATGGAAAAATAACCTCAGTGAGATTTAAAAAAAAAAAAATGGTTGGACTCAAAAGGGGTGAGTGTAAAAGTGGCCAAACTCAGAGTATGAAACTGACAAAAAGGCTGTGACAATGTATTTTTATGTCCATTCCTAGAAATATGGTTGGCAATATCTGTTGGCTATAGTAGAACATATGCCAAGAAAACTTTGCAAATTAGTGTTCAGTAGCAGCGAGGCACAGTGCAGTTTGAATGAGGTGTCAAGTGTGTAGGTTAGGCAAGATCCCAAGTAGTATCAGTCAGGAAAGCTGGGTCAGTATTGGTGGGTTAGGGAGGATAGATTCAGAAAAGAAAAGAGATCTCAAGTCTGGAGGTCTGCCTTTACAAAAAATAATAAAGTGCCCAGAGCTGCAATAGTCTGGCCTTGTCCTTTGTTCCCTCATGTAATATATTCATTTCCTGTAACTTCTTATAACTGTTAACCACTATTGAAAAGAAGGTTCTTGCTCTTATCAAGACATCTGGTGACAACAGCTGCATTTATTGGTAATATCGACATTCATTTCAATGCTTCCTCTGCAGCCCCTCTGGCTGCACATTCTGGGGCAAGAAGCCATGGAGCCGTAAGAAGAAAATTCTGTGGCAGCTGGGCACATTGATTGGTGCTCCGGTGGGGATTTCTCTCATTGCTGGCATTGCCATTCCTGCCATGGTCATCGGCATTCCTGTTTATGTTGGCAGGAAGGTAAGACATTGAGTTCTGTGCGTGTTCCATTTTCAGGTTTGTTGGTAAAGGTTTGAAGGAAATGGGGGAAGGGGGAACTATATTTCAGAGCTGCCTGAAAACCAGCTGGTTCTTGGATAAAAATAAACTTAATTTCGTAAATGGATTTTCATAAACCCCCAAGAGATCTGAAAGTTCTTATTAACATCCTGGGCCTGGTTTGTCTCGGTCTGTGACTTAAAGGTGAAATGCTTACTTCGTCCTCCTGAGTTATTTTGTCTCTTCTTGATTTAACTTGCTCTATATTTATATCATCCTCGTCTTATTAGGTTAAAAGTGAAAAAGATGCTTCTTTGGGGTGGAGGATATTTTTAATATACATAATTTATATGGGGGATATTCACAAGTTCTTTTACTTCCTTGGCAAAAAGATTGATGTCCTAACCTGTGACCTGGATTTTTTCTTATTCTTAGATTCATAGCAGGTATGAGGGAAGGAAAACCTCCAAACATAAGAGGAATTTGGCTATCACAGGAGGAGTGACTCTGTCAGTCATTGCATCCCCAGTTATTGCTGCAGTTAGTGTTGGTAAGAAGCTGGCCAGGACCATGACTCCTCTTTCCTCTCTCCTCTCCTCTCTTCTTCCCCATCAGCTTTCTGACTATAGCATGTAACCAATGGGCCAGATGTTTCACCCTGAAGGCCCCTGTATTTTATACCAATCCCACCATGGGAGTTAATTCTGTTAGGTACCATTATTATGATTATCAACCACACTATCAGAGTTAGGAAATCTTTCCGAGAAGATTGAATTAAAGATTATTATTTTAAGGCCTAGTTTTTCACTTTTAGTTTCTTTTTTTTCTCCACTCACAATGGAACCCACAAAACAAATTACTTTTATTTTGATTTGCTTAATGTCTCACACTATTTTGGGGAAGCATGAGGGTTTGTTTCAGAATAACAGTCAGGTAACTAACATTTATTGAGGCTTGCCATGTGCCAGAAGCAGTTCTGAGTGTTTTATATGAATTAACTCCTTTAGTCCTTCCAGCAGCATAATTGTAACAGAAGGGGGCAGCCGTTTTCCCAAGGCCACTTAATTGAGACAGAAGTGGAGGCACTCTGACTTCTGAGACTATGCTCTTAACAACTCGGCCTTCATGCCTCACCTAGCAGTAAGATTTTGGAATTAACACTGGGGTGATCCTAACGCCAAGAGTCACTTGTTTATTATTTGGTTATTGATTTGTTTTGGGATTAGCACTTCAGCAGGGGGAAAGTTAAAGCAACATACACTTATTGTGCTAGGCACTGTACGTACATCCCCTTTTGATCGTTGACAGCTCTGGGAAAGTAAGTTGTAGCCAAGATTTTAATCTAAGCCTTTCTGATTCTGGCCAGTTGTCATTCTGTTAGGACCAGTCAGCCTCTTTGGACAGCCATCTTCTTTGTGCCTTTCCTTGGCCCTTTCTAAAGTGGTTTGTCTGTGCTCAGGCTGGGAAGGAGAATTTAGGACAGTTGCAACCTGATGGCCTGCTGACATGTTTCCTTATCTTCCTCCAGGTATTGGTGTCCCCATTATGCTGGCTTACGTCTATGGGGTTGTGCCCATTTCTCTCTGTCGTGGAGGTGGTTGTGGAGTTAGCACAGCGAATGGAAAGGGAGTGAAAATTGAGTTTGATGAAGATGATGGCCCAATCACAGGTAAAAGGAGGATTTTCATTCTCTTTGGAATTTATGGAACACAAGATAAAAATCAGTAAAATTCAGCACATTTACAGAGAGATTGCTATTGGATTACTTCAGATAAAGAGCTTTGTAGGGGGTAAAGTATTTTTAGCTTTTCATTTCTTTGTTCCAGAGTTATTAGGTTAATTCCTCTGGTACTTGCTTCTGTGTGGCAGGTACAAACTTGTAGGATTCCAAGTACCCTGGTAATAGTAGTGATTATAAAAAAGTCTTAAGTCTTCACAGTACTTTATAATTTTCAGGGGAACTTACACAGTTATTATCTCACTTGGTTTCTTACAACTTTCTAAGAAGAAAGGGTGGGGGCTCTTATTCCCCATTTAATGGGACCTCCTTTAAGCTTGTGTCTCAACATCTATTAAATGGGTTTAAGAGCTTCTTCAGAGCTGGGATCAGAGCAAGTCTTCTGACTTCTACTTTAATGTTTCCACTTTATCACGGAGTTCCTCACAGGTTTTTCAAGCTTCCTACTAGAATCAGCACATGACCTAAAATGTATTATGAAATCTTCATGTTTGATTAGCTGGCATCTATGGACTTGGAAGCAGAATTTTTGTTTTGTGTGACTAGCCATGATGTGGACAAGTTATTTAGTTCTAAGCTTTTGTTCCCCTAAAATTGGGGCTATTAGTGCCTAGTTATTGGAGAGATTATATACAAACAAGAGGCCCAGTGCATGAATTTGTGCACAGGTGGGGTCCAGCAGCCCACGCTGATTGGGGGTGGGGCCGGCTGTGGGGAGGGGCCTCTGTGGTTGGCAGCTGGCCCCACCTCCTGATAGAACTCCTGGTGGAACTCCCAGTTGAGGGGACAATTTGCGTATTAGCCTTTTATTATATAGGATATGTAGTAAAAGCCCTGGTGTTTGGTGGCTGCACATAGTAGCTGCTCATTAACTGAATAGATAAGTATTTTTCTATGTGAATATTTTCTAGCCTGAAGAGTCATTGCAGACTGTTGATGCTGTGCTATCTTGAATTGCGATCTTGGTTTCCATTCCCAGTGGCAGATGCCTGGCGAGCCCTTAAGAACCCCAGCATTGGAGAAAGTAGCATTGAAGGTCTGACCAGTGTCTTGAGCACCAGTGGCAGCCCTACAGATGGACTCAGTGTTATGCAGGGCCCGTACAGCGAGACGGCCAGCTTTGCAGCACTCTCCGGGGGAACTCTGAGTGGTGGCATCCTTTCCACTGGCAAGGGAAAATACAGCAGGTAAGCAATAGGTAATTTCTGACAGCCAGTTGGAATTACAACACAGCATTACCTGTATGAGCCATTTTCCTATGCCAGGCATGTCCTGTGAATCATCTGAATTTGATTTAATCATCAGTGGGGTTTTTTTGTTTGTTTGTTTGGGGTTTTTTTTTACAATTGGAAAACAGACTCAGAAAGGTTAAGTGATTTATAAAAAGTTCAGTGTTCTTTCCACTTATTCCATGTAAAGAATAATAGATAGATCCTCCCTCTACTATATTAGGCTGCCTGCTTCATAAAGGGAAAGCATGCATTTTTTGTAGAATTTCCAAGACTTTGTTCTCCGTTAGGCTGAACAGTATTGTCACTGGCCTTCAGTTGAGCAGCATTTATGCTGTATCTTGTTGGCTTATTGGTCCTGACCTCTTTGTTACCTTCCTATTCCCATTTGGTAGATAAAGAGAATTAATTCTGTGAACTTGTGTTGAGAATATGTAAAACTTTATGACTAAAAAATGTGGCGACTTGCTTGGTTATTTCACCAGCCAGACTAATGAAAGCATATTTAGAGGAACTTAACAGCTGTTACTTGAGAAGCAATTAGTTGAGTGCACTGGAGACAGAGGCCTAGGGAGGCCTAGAAGGGGGTGGGGCGAGGCAAAATAAGTTAGGGAGGCAGGGGAGATGGTTACCTTCAGATATCTGAAGGGCCTTGAGCTGGAAAAAAAGAATTAAACTTCCGACTCATGCCAAGAGGTAGATTAAGATGACATGGCTAGAGGAAAACCGACTTTGTTTCAGTATAGAGAATATAGGGAACATCTCTATAAGAGTCCAAAGAAGGAATAGATTACCTTAGTAAATACTTAGCTACCTAGCCTTGAAAGTGTTTAAAGCCAGACCAGATGACATTTTGGCTATTAGGAGTTAAGCAACAGATGGCAGATGGACTGGATCCCACACCTGAGAGCTTGTCAGTCACCTGGGAGCCTGTAAAAATAGATTTCAGGGCCCTATCCCAGTATTAGTAAATTAGAGTCTCCTGGAGTGGGAATTAGGGGTCTGTATTTTGAAAAGGCCTGGGAGGGGTGGGAGTGCGGGGGGGTGGGGGGGGTAGGGGAGAAGGTTGCCTTCTATCATAGTCCTTGCACGAATGAGCCCCTGAGAACCACCTAGATAGATGGTCTTTGTGGGAGGCCTCTTCCAGCAGAGCTCGGGCTTTTCCATAGCACGGCTCACTGCCTGGGCTGTGGGTGTTGGGGCGTCTGAAGCCGAGCAGCACGAGGAAGGTGCAGGCGGCGGGCTGAAGGCTGTGTGAAGGTGCAGATGCAGGCTGCTGCTGCCGTCCTGCGTCTCATGACTCTGCGTCTCTTTGTTAGGGCATCCCGCCCCCACATTCTGGAGAATTCACTGCTATACTTTCTTAAAACCAACACCCCTATAAATAAGCAGACAGACATAATTGGAGACTGACTTGCTGAAACTGCAGCTTAGCCAGTCCAGCTGTTCCAGTTCTGTGAAAGCTTTCTATAGGAAGTGAATGAGTCAGTTGGGTTTGAGTGAAACCCATTATGAGGAAATACTTAAGAGTACAACAGGACGGTATTGGAGCCAAGAAAGGAAATAGGTATGAGTTCTTAGCCACGAGACACCATTGGCAAAGTTTGCTGCTCTTGTAGGAGATTGGCTCTTCTATGTCCTTCAGTTTCATAGCGTGGGGGGTAATTTGCTAAATGTTTGAGTTCCTACTATGTGTAACACATGGAGGGTAAAGTGAATGAGTGCAGTCTTTCCTTTTTGGAGCTCTCAGATGACTGGGAGAGAGATGTGTAAATTGATTAATAAATAGGTAGGTAGGAGCACTTAACAGGAAGTGACTGGGAAAGTGAGAGAAGATGGTACTTTGTTTGTTAAGGACTGAGTATGAGTTTGTCATCTTGAGAAAGGAACTTTCCAGAGTGAAAAGTCATGGAGGTATAAAGTGTGTGTAGGGACCCAGCCAGTGTGGCTTAGTGGTAGAATGTTGACCTATGAACCAGGAGGTTAGGGTTCGATTCCCAGTCAGGGCACATGCCTAGATTGCAGGCTCAGTCACCAGTGTGTGGTGTGCAGAAGGCAGCCAAACAATGATTCTCTCTTACCATTGATATTTCTATCAGTCTCTCCCTCTCTCTTCTCTGAATTAAAATTTTAAATGTATATAGGTGTGTAAGGAAAATAAATCCCGAGTGATTATGACTTGAGACCTGTGATGAGAGAGGAGTCAGAGAGAGCTTGGACACAGATCAGGAAGACCTTAAATGCCTGTTGTCGATAGGGAGCCAAAAGAGGACTTGCTCTAGTGATCAGACCTGTGTCCACATTGGCACTGATCTGGAAGTACTTTAGTGTGGACTTAGGGCTACCGCAGAGGGTGCCCACTTTCAGTTATCTAGGAGATATTGAAGGCCTGAAGTTAAGCAATAGCAGTGGGGACAGAAAGGAGGGGACGACTACAATAGATAGTTAAGAGAAAAAATGTGTGGGCATCTATCTTGAGCTGTTTGACAGTTGGAGGAGATCAGATCAATTCAGTTTGCAAGAGAATAATGGAAGAGCTGGGTGCCAGGAAGCAGATTGTCTTGGAATACCCAGGTCTCATATTAACGTGAACGTCCCCTCTTTACACAGGTTAGAAGTCCAAGCCGATGTCCAAAAGGAAATTTTCCCCAAAGACACAGCCAGTCTTGGTGCAATTAGTGACAACGCAAGTACTCGTGCTATGGCCGGTTCCATAATCAGTTCCTACAACCCACAGGACAGGTATGTGACCAGGCAGATGCCCAAGAGAGATTGCATTTTGTGGTTAGGTGCTAGGCCTTTAGGAGCTCAATGCCTTATGTTAGAGCTGTGTGCACCATCTAGTGGGAGGTATAGCTTGTGTACCTGGTGACTTCATTGAGCAAGTTCTTGGCAGCTCTTGATTGATTCTTTTTGTTAGCACTTAATTTTTAGAGGTTTTTTTCCTTTCTTTTTCCCACCCTTCTCCTAGCCTTTGCAACAGTATTAACTATTCACGTGGAACTTTAAGTGTTAGGTTGGTGTTCGTTGATGTTTGTAGTCTATGGCTTCTGCTCTCATGTTGCCCTTGGCTAGCTGTGGCTCCTGTGGCCTATTTCTCTATTTTTGAGAAGCTAGTGTATCTGGTTTGGTATGGTTGCAGCACTCCCTTCTGGGGACTTTCTGGCTTCTTCTAATTGTGGCGCAGTAGTAAAAAGCTATGCTTCTTCTTTCACTTTCATATTTGAGTAAGATAGTGTGAGGCTCTGACATTTAGTTAAATTTTAGAAGTACTTTTTTCATTTAAAAAAAATCGGCAGATCCCTGGCAGGTATATGGCTCGGTTGGTTGGAGCGTTGTCCCATGCGCTGGAAGGCCATGGGTTCGATTTCTGGTCAGGGCACATACCTAGGTTGTGGTCTGATCACTGGTTGGGGTGTGTACAGGAGGCAACCAATCAGTGTTTCTCTCTCAAGTTGATGTCTCTCTCTCCTCTCTCTCCATTCCTCACTCCTCTCTAAAATCAATAAGAAAAAAGAAAACTGGATGATAACAAAAAATTTTTTTTAAGGAATTGGCAGAGGTATACGTTTGTGTGTTTTAAATCAACAAAAAGGATCTAATTGTTGTTCATCTTGAGTGTTAGGTTAAATTTTTATTTTTGCTAAATGTGAGCTCTGGTCTATTTACCTATGTTTTTGGCCTTCCTAATCCTGAACCCATAAACGGCTTTTACCACCAGCTATATCATGACCCATGCATGACTCAGCATAGCGGGTTTTGTTTTTACAGAGAATGCAACAATATGGAAATACAAGTGGACATTGAAGCCAAACCAAGCCACTATCCGCTGGTGAGTGGAAGCAGCACAGAGGACTCGCTCCATGTTCACGCTCAGATGGCAGAGAATGAGGAAGAAAGTGGTGCTGGCAGCAGTGGCAGCAATGAAGAGGATCTCCCCTGCAAACACCAAAGCTGTGAACAGAAAGACTGCCTGGCCAGCAAACCTTGGGACATCAGCCTGGCCCAGCCCGAGAGCATCCGCAGTGACCTGGAGAGCTCAGATACGCAGTCAGATGATGTGCCAGATCTCACTTCAGATGAGTGCGGCTCTCCTCGCTCGCACACTGCAGCCTGCCCCTCGACTCCCAGAGCCCAAGGTGCGCCGAGCCCAAGTGCCCATAGGAGCCTCTCTGCCCCAGCAGAGGGGAAGACTGCGCTGAAGCCAGAAGGTGCAGAAGCCAGAGTATGAAGTGGAATGAATGCTCCTGTTCCGAGAAGCACACTTGTTGTAACTGCATCTTTTGGAATTTTTTTGGGGGGGTGGGGATGGAGATTTGTGTATTTTATTTAAAGGATTCTCTGGTCACAGGTTTTACCCAGGGAAATTCTGAGAAATTTGCAGTTTCTTACAGATAAAACATGGGAAATTTTGCCCTTAGTCCCACAGCCCACCCTCCCCCTTTTTTAAGTTTTAATTTATTGGTTAAACTAATGGTGGCAATCCGTGAGGTGTGTCAAAGAGTGTACAGATGTATGTGTGTATATTGTATGTATGCTAACATTACTGAAGGACACGTTTTAATAAAGATTTCTGTTATAATTCAGCTCATCTCGTTCCTTGGCTTGGGTAGCCCTACAGAGCCAAGGGTTTGAAACAGACCACTACTTCTTTAACAGTCTAGATCTGACTGTTTCTAATATCAGGAAAAAGGGATTGTATTCTAAGCAGACTGCAGTGGAGGCGTCTATAACTAGGGATTCCAAGCCAGCCAGGCTTCTTTTGGACTGTGTGGTCAGACGGAAGCATTAGCTGAGTCAGCCAAATAGAGAAGCTGTAGATTAAAATGAACCTCGTTTGCCCTCTAGAGGCAGCTGTGCAGTTTTCCTGTTAAAATTTTATTTACCCTTTTCTGTATTGTAGTCACTACTAGAAATGTGTTTCCAGAATGAGGGCAGGATGGAATGGCAATTCAGTGGCTCTTTAGAGCGATCCCAGTGAATATTGTAGGATTATAAATTGGGAAACAGTATTCTTATTGAAGGAAGTAATGTAGATTCTGCATAATCTAATCACTAAGCAATAACCTGGGTGTGTGTTAAACTGTATGGTACACATTCCTTGTTCCAAAAGCTTTCTCGAGTTTTATAAAGTTAGTTTAAGAGGGGCTAAGGAATCTGACTAAAATTTGTCGTGAAAGGACAGAGAAGAAATGCCATCAAAATTTCAACATACTTCATTTTATCTGATCTTATAAATTTGTCAGAATTGAGCTAAATTGGTACTACTTCAGATTTTGGCGCTGTCTAGAATAATGGTCTAAGAAATGAACACTCATGCACAAGTATAGCAGAGGAAGTTAAAGATTCATGAGATGTGACGTAAGATTCCAAATTTGGCAGTAACTTACTTTGTGATTGTGTGAGATGACGGAGATTTCTTGCCCTTAATTTCTCCGGCTCAGACAGTATTTAAGAAACTTCCAGTGCCAAACTCCTCTAGCACCTTAGCCCTGGGCCCAGAGGAAGAATTGCAGATATCCTTTCTCTGAGGACCAGATAGCTTTCTGTTTCCTTTCACAGATGCACCTGCTCTTTGTCTTCCTGGCCTGTGTTTTTCTACAATGAGGATGATGAGTCTGGACAACAGCCAACCTGGAAGATTCTTTTCTCTTGGGCATTGCAGCCAGACTTAACACATTTCTCTGCACCTGGAACTGGAAATGCTGTCCGTGGACTTTGGGGCTTTGGAAAAAGGCACCCTACAGGATGTCCATGTGGTGAAAAAGGAAGCCTGTTGGGGGGAAAAAGGCAGACAATCTGAAATGCAAATTATTAACTCTCCACTTGCAATTCTCTTGAAGCCTCAGGAGAGCAATTAACTTGGATAAAAATCAAGGAAGTCTGTTGGAGGGGCAAGAGTTTGCAGCCAAACCTGTAATCTTACCTGGATCCCACTTCTTATTGCTGTGAGACTTTTGCAACTTACTCTGAGTCTGTTTTCACTTTGCGGAAATGGCAATAATGATTTTAATTATGGGGTTGTAAAAATTGAGATGGTTGTAAAGATTAAGACTGAAAATGCTTTTGGTAAGAGCCCACGCTTTTTCCTCCTGCAGGAATAAGAAATAAGGAAAGGGAGATTATGAGTGTCTTCTAAGACAAGCCCAAAGCTCTAGACCAGAGGTCACGGAAAACTAAATTTATTCTAATCCTTCGCAATACTCATGTTGTGTCTTCTAGGCATTAGCAGATGAAAGACCTTTCACCACCACTGGGAGACCAGGAGTTGTTGGTCCAGTTATTTATTTTTAATGACTTGAGGGAGGGAGAGAGACAAATATTGGCTTGTTGTTGCCCTGACCAGGGACCAAACCCACAACTTTGGCATACCAGGATGATGCCCTAACCAACTGAGCTTCCCAACCGGGACCTAAAAGTGGGTCAGTTTAGAACGTAGGGAATGTTTTAAGTAGAGCTTTCATTCATACCTACTATGTTTCAGGTATACTGTGCATTAATGAGAAAAACAAAAGTCTGTCCCCATGGAACCAACATCAGAGTGGGAAAGGTGATCAGGTGCATACTCTGGAGGAGGGTAAGTGCACTGAAGAAAACAGAGCAGGGAAGGTGGAGAGAGTTGCAGGTGGTGGTGCTAGCCATCTAATTATTTAGAGGATAGTATAGGGCCTCTTCAACAAGGTAACATTTTATCAGAGTCCTGAGTGGAGTGAGAACCATGTGATACCAAGCATGAGGAATAAAGTACAAAGGCCCTTTGGTAGCGCATCCTTAGTCTGCTTACACACACACACACACACACAGCATACAGGCCTGTATGGCTGGAACAAAGTGGACCAAGGAGGAGAGTAGTAGACTAGGTTGAAGAGGTGTCTGGGAACAAGATGTGTAGATTAGCAAAACAACTCTGATGACAAGGAGATGTTAGGTTCCTCTCAGGCCCGGAAGAGATAATCTTTGAAGCCAGACAGATGGGCTCTTGTGGTCAAATTTCAAAGGGGCTAACCCTGAAAGGGCATATCTGGTCACAAGTCATACTTTGGCCAATGGAAAGAAACTGGATTTGGGAAATGGATACTTATTTATTCCAACCTCTTTCTAATGTACTTTTTGGGACCTAAATGGTCTCTGTGGTCTAGTTAGAATAGAGGCTTATGGGGTATTAATAGCTTGAATCGTGTCCCCCAAAATATGTTGGAGTCCTAACCCCAACTAAGAATATAACCTTAGTTGGAAATAGGGTTGTTGCAGGTGTAATTAAGATGAGGTCATACTGGAGTAGGATGGGCCCCTAATCCAATATGATTGGTGCCATATAAAAAAAGGAGATTTGGACACAGAAACACAGAGAGAACACCATGTGAAGATGAAGGCAGAGATCAGGATGATTCGGCAGAAGCCAAGGGGTGCCAAAGATGGCCAGCGAAACATCCAGAAGCTAGAAGAGAGGCATGGAACAGATTCTCCTATATAGTGCTCAGAAGGAACCAACCCTGCAGACACCTTAACCTTGGACTTTTAACCTACAGAACTGTGAAAAAATAAAATAGTGTTTAAGCCACCCAATCTGTGGTGCTTTATTACAGCATACCCAGCAAACTAATATATGAGGGTCAAGTAATTTATTTTTTAAAGTATATTGATTTCAGAGAAAAGGAGAAGGAGAGAGAGAAACATCAATGATGAGAGAGAATCATTGATCAGCTGCCTACTACATGCCCCATACTGGAGATCAAGCCTGCAACCTGGTCATGTGCTCTGACCCTGAACTGGTTCATAGGTCGACATTCAACCACTGAGCCACCCAAGGAATTTAAAAGGAATTTTGGCCTGGTCTGTTGCACATATCCATCCCATTATTATTGCCCAGTTCTTGTACGTACAGTGGTACTAGACATACTTGGCCACTGGCAGAACCTTCAGACTGACACCTGGTGTGAACGCTGTGTAAGAACCAAGAAAGTCTCCAGAGCTGTTCTTCCCCACCATAATCATAAGCCCAATGCCACTGTGCCTCCCTGAGGGAATAGGAGATGTTACCACCGCCATCGGAGACTGAGAAATTCAGGAATGGTGACCCCTATCTGTTCACATTTCAGTCATTTGCCCTGTACAGGACATGCTTGTAGCTGTTCTTTCAGATTCCTCTTTATAAAGCAAACCAGCACGTCGCTGGCACCTGCAGCCATGCAACTATTGACCTGGAATATGCTCTTCCTCTCTCCCCCAACGCACAGAAAACATGAAACGCAGGTCACTTCCACCTGTCGGGCAGCAGTCCGTCCTGCTGTTGTACATCTGGCTTATGTCAGCTCACCGGCTCTGTTGAAATCTCATTTGCAGGCACTTTAATCATCTCACATTTCGCAGCAGGACATCACTCGACATGTTTTTGGATCTAATAAGAAGTGGCAGGTATGTAAATGCCTTGTTTTAAAAAGTGTGTGTTAGAGGATAGGCAATAATCCTGTAGAAACTTACAACTCTGGAGTTTCTAGGGGTCCAGAGGAGTCCAGAACGTGGCAGGTAACCTAAAGTGAAGGATGAGCTGTTGCACTGTATTTAATACACCCCCCACCCCCCACTAAGAAAAACTCAGCATTCGACGGATCGCTTTTTTTTTTTTTTTTTTTTTTTTTTTTACAGAGAGGAAGAGAGAGGGACAGAGAGTCAGAAACATCGATGAGAAAGAGATCTACCAGCTGCCTCCTGCACACCCCCCACTGGGGATGTGCCTGCAACCAAGGTACATGCCCTTGACCAGAATCAAACCTGGGACCTTTCAGTCCACAGACCGACGCTCTATCCACTGAGCCAAACCGGTTTTGGCAATGATGGATCACTTTTGATTTTAGAGTTCACATACCACATTTGGTTGTGCCGCACTGACCTGTTTATCAAGTAATCCATAAGGCCACCAGCTTTGATGGGCCCCCGAAAAGAGAATGGCCAGCAGTGAGTACAGGCTGCAAGGCAAGCCGTTTGGTTTTATGACCTAGCAGATCCAGTGGGGTGCAAAGTCCCTTGGCAAATAAGGATACAAGGTACACACTGTGGCAAACTTCCATCAGAGTCACTGAGCCTTATGATTTTGGAGTGAAGCCATGCTATTTCTGACAATGGCTATTCTCTCACTACTGAGCCCTGCTCCATGCTCTGAGGGGACCGGCTGGGCACTCAGCAGCAGTCAGATTATATTATCGGATCCCTTCCATCACAAAGGAAACAGCGGTTTCTCCTCTCTGAAAAGGCATTCACTCAAGATATGGATTGTTTCCATGCATGCCAAGCCTAAAATATTCACAAAGAAGTTTTAAACTGAGAAAAATCCCAATTATTATAAAACCAGGCATTTCCCCCACCCTCCTATTCTAAATGTGGTTATCTGTTGAGAAGCATAGTGGCTCAGAGGATAGACTCCAGAACCAGAATGCCTGGGCAGGAATTCTAACCCCACTGTTTTAAGTATCTTCGGATCTTGGGAAAATTAACCTCTATTTTAGTTTCTTCATTTGAGATTATGGGAATTAAATAAATACATATAATAGTGCCTGGTCTGTAGTAAGTTCTGTATGTATTAACTAATATCCATTTCACTTATTATAATCATCAGCCTTATGATTATCTACAAACTTCCTGGTGCCTTGTTCATCATGCGGTGTTCCATACAACATGCCTCTCATCCAGGGAGGCGATGGGCTAAGACCCACGGAATCAGACTAAAGCAGCTGGCCCTACAGAATAGTCAAATGGCTTACAATTCTCAACACCCACAAGAGAAATACATCACCAGGGCACATAACAAGTCCATCGACTAGAAGTCTTCCGCCCAATTTGGGCTCCTCAGGCTCTGAACCAATAGCCCAAAGGAGGGCAGTTGTGTGAGGTGGAGTGTTGGATCCTGGTTCCCAAGGGAAGCAGGTTGCTGTGCTCATTGGGGGATGGGAAGAGGTGTGCCTGGAACCGAAAGGCCCTCTGGGGCTCCTTCTAGCACTACTACCATGTTTAGGAGAAAAAGTTCCAAACGGCTAGACCACTAAGGGCTCAATTCCTTTAGGAATAAAGATTTGGGTCATCATACCAGATACTGAGGTACTGGCTGGCAGACAAGGAGCTTAGAATGGGTAATGGAGAATGAAAGTTATGAATATAAATAATTCATGAGAACTTGAGAGAGAAATGAGGACTGCATTAGTATTTCATGTTTTCCTTGCTGTACTGCATCTATGTTTTATAGCTACTAACTGTTTCTTCCCCACTTTCCACATTTTCCCTAGTGCTGTAAGGTGTGTTATTGTTGGTAACATGATAATGTAGCCTGTAGGTTGCAGATTGTTGAGGTTAGAATTGTGACCGAACCGAATGAACATAACCCATAGATGGATGCGTGACTAATAGGATTTTAATCTCTCCTTATAAAAGGAGGTGGTTTATTTATTATTTTTTAAATATTAATATATTTTTATACTTACTATCTTTTATTTCTTTTTTAAAAATATGTTTTTATTGAATTTTTTAGAAAGAGAAGAAGGGAGAGGGAGAGAGGGGGGTAGAAATATCAAAGGGAGAGAAACAACATCTGAGAGAGAAACACCTGATTTGTTGTATTGAGTCCTTTCCTGCTTAAAAATAGAGTGGTTTCTGTTCCCTGACTGAGAAATAGCACAACTTGAAACCTCCGAGCCAGGATATGACTTGTCATTTTGCTAGAGCTGATGTGCAGCCGAACTATAATAGTAAATTCCTGGAAAGTCAGATGTGGAAGTACCTTTGAAGACTAACTGGTCCAACTCCTTTTTTTTTTCCCCCCCTTATTTTTTTAATTAAATTATCTGTGTACATATCTTACCATTGCCCCCTCCTCCCATACATACCCTCCCTCCCCAGAGTTTTGTGTCCATTGGTTGTACTTATATGTATGTATACAAGTCCATAGGTTGATCTCTTATCTCCCCCAGATCTCCCTACCCTACCTGCTGTAATTTGACAGTCTGCTTGTTGCTTTACTGTCTCTATATCTATCTTTTGATTCATCAGTTTATAATGTTCTTTATTATCCATAAATGAGTGAGGTCATGTGGTGTTTCTCTTTCATTGACAGGCTTATTTCACTCAGCATGATGTTCTCCAATTCCATCCAGGTTGCTGCAAATAATGAGAATTCCTTCTTTTTTGTGGCAGCATAGTATTCCATTGTGTAGATGTACCATAGTTTTTTGATCCAATCATCTGCTGACGGGCACCTAGGCTGTTTTCAAATCCTAGCTATTGTAGATTGTGCTGCTATGAACATAGGGGTGCATATATTCTTTCTGATTGGTGTTTCTAGTTTCTTGGGACATAATCCTAGGAGTGGGATTACTGGGTCAAATGGGAGTTCCATTTTCAGTTTTTTGAGGAAACTCCATACTGTTCTCCATAGTGGTTGCACCACCAACTCCTTCTTTTGTAAAACGAAAGGACATTGAGACACAAGTTAGAAGACACACACACACACACACACACTCTGATGCCGAGTGCCTGCAACTCCCTCAGCCTCCTCCCGCAGCTGGCGGACCTGAACTGTCGTCATGAAACACTGTGATCTGGGCCATGGAGATCCAGTGCGGCCAGCTGCCAGCCTCACTGCAGCTGATTGGACTCAGAATATGGGCCCCAGCATGGGGGGAGGCCGTGAAGAACCTGGAAGTGATGGGTGCTTTTCCTCTAAGACAATAGAGGAAGGGATCAAGAGTACAGCAGAGGGGATGGCAGTGGACACAGGAAGGGGAGGAAGGTGGAGATGACCATGAGGTTCGGTGTCCTTCCCAAAAGGGGACCATCCCCACCATGAGGAGATATAAAATGCCTACTACAGAGCAGATGGTGGTAAGCATCAGCCCTTCCCTGCCTCCCTGGCTGTGCAGTTCCCATCCTCTGAGGCCCATGTGATGTCATTCTGGGATGTCACGAGGCTAAGGAACACAGCTAGAGCTAGAGACATGAAAGCCACCCCGCGCTTTTCTGAAACCCCAGGGGAGTAGAGGCTGCTTTCTCCTGAAGTTCCTACACTGGGAAGACGTATGCACAGAACTTCCTCTACGTGGACAGACTGCCTGATAGTGACACCAAGACGGGGGTTGGGGTGGCCCAAGCTGAGACATGGAGAGAGGACAAGAGACTGAGACACCGTGTGAACACCACACGACATGGTTTTAATGCCGGGAGCTAACCGTGCCTGATGCACCTGACCTTGCCCTAATCCAACAAAGCCCTCCCCACCACCAGAGCCCCTGTCCTTAGGTTCTGCCCCTGTAATGAAGAAGTCCTGTGAGGGGAGTTGCTGGTGATGTCTCTGACACGCGCGCTGGCTGCGCTGAGGTTGGTGCAGAGGTCAGGAGGTCAGCATTTCCTGGGATGTGGCCGCACAGCCAGGCTCTCCTAAAGCCGGACTGTTTACCTAACGCAGGAGGAAACTTGGGGACTCGGTAGGAATAAGTCAGTAGGTGATGTTATTTTCCCAAGACTTCAGAGTCAAAGAGACAAAGTTTGCAGAGAGAATGATGAATAACAAAAGCCAACGTTCTGAGGCACTCATCCTGTGCCCGGCTCTAAGTGCTTTACACATATGAACTCATTAATATTCACAAAAACAGCCAAGACCGGTTTGGCTCAATGGATAGAGCGTTGGCTTGGGGACTGAAGGGTCCCGGGTTCGATTCTGGTCAAGGGCATGTACCTTGGTTGCGGACACATCCCCAGTAGGGGGTGTGCAAGAGGCAGCTGATCCATAACTCTCTCTCATCGATGTTTCTAACTCTCTATCTCTCTCCCTTCCTCTCTGTACAAAATCAATAAAATATATTTTAAAAAATATATTCACAAAAACACAAAGAAGTGGGTGCGGTGGTTATTCCCCAGCGTGCTCTGAGGAACTGAGGTGCTAAATAATTTGCACAAAGTCACAAAGCCAGACAGGGGGAGAGCCATGACTGGCATCATGCAGCCTGGCCCCTATAGCTTTGCTAAGAGAGGCTGCCTGAGCCCACAGTCCAAGCTGAGGTGGAGCCTGATGGTCAAGGCATGCAAGGCAGCATCTCTCACATGGAAGCTAAAGTGAGAAGGAAGGCAGGGAGGCACCCCCAAGCCCTTCCTCCCTGCCCCACTAGGAGGATGGTTACAATGCAAAAAGCCTTCCACTGAGTGCAGCCTAGCGGCCAGGCACCTGCTGTGCCCTCCCTGCATGCCTGGTGTTCACAATGGTTCCCAGGCAGAGGGGAAGGCGGAGGCCCTGAGCTGAGGACCTTAGTTCACAATTCCTCTGACTTCATTATCAGCCCACGGAGTTATCCGAATGTGAATAGTCCGAAAACGTACACATCTGTGATGGGACTGCGTTTGCCAGAGAAGCCTGGCACCTGGGAGCCTGGGATGGATCAACCCCTAAGGTAATGTCTTGGCTCCAAACAATCCCCACAGGAAATCCTGCTCATCCTTCTGAGCGGACACCAAGTCACAAGAGGAGGCCCTTCCCATGGCAGCGCGGCCAGACTGGCCTCACTCTCCCTCGGCGAGGACTCCGTGCTGTTATTGACCCGAGGATGCACCCTGCACTGTGCACCAATGGGCACCACTTCAGCTCCTCTCCTTTCCCAATTGGAGATGCTTCTTTATAATTATCTTGTTTTTCCCTCCTGACTAATTTTATTATAGATCTGTAGCAGTGTTCGCCAACTTTTTTGGTCCCAGGACCTCTTTACACTCTGAAAAATTGAAAATCTGAAAGATGTTTTGTTTATGTCAGTTATATAATCAATACTTACAATATTGGGAGCATTTCTCATTTTTATTTAAAATAAACCTATTAATGTTAACATAAATAATACCCTTTTCAATGAGAAAATAACTACATTTCCCAAAGCATAGGGAGAAGAATGACGTTGTTTTGAGGTTTTTTGCAAATTGCTCTAATGTCTAGCTTTATAAAAGGCATCTAGATTCCCATCCGCTTCTTTATTTAATCTGTTGAGATACGTTGTTTTGGTTGCAGTATATGAAGAAAATTCAGCTTCACACAAATATGTAGTTGAAAAAAGGAGGAGTATTTTAAAAGCCTTTGCAGATAATTGTGGATATTCCTCTTTGATACTATACTAAAACTTGACAAATGATACTTTTGTAAAATTTGGTTTCAGTAGGGAACCTGAAACCATATCAATCAATTTTTCATTAAATTAAAATACATTGGTCTATCTTGCACTATATATATATATATATATATATATATATATATATATATATATATATATATATTTATTTATTTATTTTTTCTCATTTCAAAGAGGGATGGTGAGAGAGAATCATTGATCTGCCACCTCCCACACATCCCCCACTGGGGACAAGCCCACAGCCCAGGCATGTGCCCTGACCTGGATTCAAACCGTGACCTCCTGGCACATAGGTGGATGCTCAACCACTGAGCCACACTGGTCAGGCTATTTTGACTTTGAATGCATCCAATATTCATTCATGATTTTGTAACATCATGTATTGGTTGCTTGGAAAACATTGGTTCACTGAGTGGTACATATCTTCCAAATGTTGAATTTTCCAAAAGTCTTTTTTTCATTCAAAACCTCAAATTTTATCATTAGCAGCAAATATTTTCAATATTTCCCCTTGAATTGACAGGCTCACTTCCTTCATTTTGGAGAAAATGTCTTCAAAAACCCACATTTGCATAAACTTAGTGTGTCTTTCAATCAGGAGAAGTGGTGTTCATGAAAAGAAGCAGCTAGTTCAGCTTGCAACTCAAACAATGGCACAGGTGCTCTCCTGGGGACACCATGGTACTTAGGCAGCCAGCAGAACGCTTCTGTTCTGTCAAAATATTGAAAAGAGGTATCCTCAGGGGTAGAAATGTAACTGAGTTAGTGATTTTTACTGTTTCATCACGTCATTCTCAAGTGAAACTGGCGTATTTATTTCTCGTACTGTGTGCCCATGGCAGTGACAATACAATGACTGCATGTATAGCCCGGAGCTGCTGCCTCCCTTTGCGCTATGGGGCCAGCGGTTTTACTCACCATTGCCTTTCCACCATCAAAAAAGCAAAAGAACATCAAAGTAGATAAAGAAAATAAGTTTGACCTCACAGATCCTCTGAAAAGGTCTTTGAAGACCCTCCTGGGTTCCCAGACCATAGTTTGAGGACCACGATTGAATGCTCTATTCATCAGTTAGCACCTGCCATGTGACTGTTCCCGGCGCTGAAGACTGAGTGGTGAGCTATATATGAGACACTTAGGGCCTCTGTTCTTCATGTTCGTCTTATGTCTTTTGAAGCACAAAAGCTTTTCATTTTGATGAAGTCAGATTTATCTGTGATTGTTTGTGCTTTTGGTGTCATACTTAAGAAAGCATTGCTTGCCAAAACTGGTTTGGCTCAGTGGATAGAGTGTTGGTCTGAGGAAAGGTCCCAGGTTCGATTCCGGTCAAGGGTATGTACATTGGTTGCGGGCACATCCCTGGTGGGGTGTGCAGGAGGCACCTGGTCGATGTTTCTCTCTCATCTATGTTTCTAGCTCTCTATCCCTCTCCTTCCTCTCTGTTAAAAAAAAAAATCAATAAAAAAGAAAACATTGCTTAATCCAAGGTCACAAGGGTTTATGCCTATGTTTTCTCCTAAGAGTTTTATAGTTTAGTTCTTACATTTTGTATTTGGTATGAGGTAGGGGTCCAACTTCATTCTTTGTTGTTGTAGTTGTTGTTAATCCTCAACTGAAGATACTTTTCCCACTGATTTTTAGAGAGAGTAGAAGAGAGGAAGGGCAGGGTAGAGGAGGGAAGAGAGAGAAAGAGAGAGAGAAACATTAATGTGAAAGACACATTGATTGATTGCCTCTCATACATACCCCAACTGGGACCAGGGATTGAACCTGCAACCCAGGTATGTGCCCTTGGCCAGAACTGAACCTACGACCCTCAGTGCTCAGGCCGATGCTCTAACTACTGAGATCACCAGCCAGGGTCCAATCTCATTCTTTTGCAACTGGATACCCAGTTGTCCCAGCAACATTTGTTGATAACTATTTTTCTCCCTTAAATCATCTCGGTACCCTTGTCAAAAATCAGCTGATCATGTGTGTATTTTTATTTCTGGTTTCTTTATTTTTGGACTCTCAGTTTCGTTCCTCTCATCTGGATGTCTATTCTTATGCCAGTTCCACATTGTACTGATCACTGTAGATCTGTAATACATTTTGAAACGGGGAAGTGTGATTGTTTGTTTCCTTTTATGGTTATTTTGGCTACCCTGGATCTTTTGCATTTCCATATGATACTAGGATCAACTTGTGAATTTCTATTTTTAAAACCAGGCATTTGATAGGGTTTGCATTCAATTTGTAGATCAGTTTGGGGAAAATTGTCATCCTAACAACATTAAACGTTAGAATCCAAGAACCCCCGATACCTTTCCATTTATTTGTCTTCTTTAATTTATTTTGTATTACTTTTTAAAAAAATGTTTTTTATTGATTTTTTTACAGAGAGGATGGAGATGGATAGAGAGGTACAATAGAATCATGGATGAGAGAGAAACATGGACCAGCTGCCTCCTGCACACCCCCCACTGGGGATGTACCTGCAACCAATGCACATGTCCTTGACCGGAATCGAACCTGGGACCCTTCAGTCCGCAGGCCTACGCTCTATCCACTGAGCCAAACCGGTTTTAGCATCTTTTGTGTTACTTTTGATGTTAAGTAGGGAGTAATGTGATCTGATTTATACTTTAGGAGGATTACTTAGTTGTGTAAATAAAAAAATAAAAAACAATTTCGGGGCAAGAGATGGTCCATGAACAAGGGCAAGGGCAGTAACAGCAGGGCCAAAGAAGAAGCACGTGTTATAGAAACACTTATGACGTAAATCCGCAGGGCTTGATCGGTGACTTGATACAGAAAGAGACAGAAGGGCCAAGAACGGGTCCCAGGTTTTGGCTTGAGTTCATCATGATGCCACCAGCTGGGACAGAAAATACAGGAGCAGCCGTTTAGGAGAAAAGATGAAGCCATCAATTAGTCCATGTGGAGCTTGAGGTGACTGAGGACACACAGGTGGAGAGATAAGATAATTGGATCCTGGAGTCTGATTCAGCTCAGGGGAGCTGTCTAGTTGGGGGACAGTGATTTGACAATCATCATATTAAAAGGGAACCACAACAGTGCATGAACCAGCCAAGGCAAAAAAGAAAGGAAGCAGAAATAGGAATACCAATGTTTAAAGGCCTCGCTAATGACAAAAGCCCCCAGAGGAGACTGGGAAGGAACAACCAGAGAGGTGGGAGGGAGCCAGGAAAGAGGTGCTCCCATTGGATTCAGGGGACTGATGTCCTGGTGACCTAGACAAGGGCTGGACCGCACTGCTGTGGGCTGAGGAGGAGGTGGGAGTGGAGAGGATGGAGACGGCAGGTAAGATAATCCACTCTGGAAGTTTGGAAGCGACTGGAAAGGGAATGCAAAGGAAGTAACTAAAAATGCAAAGGCAGTTGAGGGAGGGTGTGTGTTTGTCAGATGAAGAGACTTGGGCCTGTTTGTAGCCAATGGGAAGGACGTAGCAGAAAGAGGATGTGGCAGGGAGTAGTGTCCATGTGGGGCTGGAGGAGTGACTGGGAGAATAAGGTAAGGGGGTATATGGGTTTAAAATAGTGCTTTTTTCCCCAAATTTCCATGTGCATTAGAATCACATCCTTCAAATCTCCCCTCTGCTCTCCATCTCCATAGCTGCTATCCTGGCCCAAGGCCAAGTCCCCTACACTTTTCACCTCTCACCTGAACAGCTGAGCTGGCCTTCAGGCGCTCAACCTTGGGGTGTAGGTTTGGTGGTGAAGAGGTCAGCAGGGGCCTAACAGCAGAAGAGAGAGTGGGCCTGTGGCCAGGAGGTGGGCATGCTGTGCCTTGAGGGATGTTTGAGGTTGGGATGTCAGAGGGGGTGTTCAAGGCGTGGCCCAGAGAGGTGGCTGGGGTCATGATGAAGGTCCCTGAGGAGGCTCGTTCACATGATGAGCAGGACCTGAGCACAGACTGCCGGACGGAAATCTGGAAACCCCAGTCTGATGGGCGGAGGTGGGTGACAGGGAGGTGCTGAGAAGGACTGGCAGAGCAAAGCCAGGGGGCAGGCGTCTCAAGAACAAATGATAGACACACATGGGGAAACCTTCCAAATGTGGATGGTGGTTTTCTGTGAGGGCAGAGAGGATTGTGGGTAGTTCTGATTTCTTCTTTATACTTTCCTGTTGGCCCCTCAAATTTTCTACAATGAACTTTTTTTTAATATATTTTATTGATTTTTTTTTTTTTTTTTTTTTTTTTTTTTTTTTTTTTTACAGAGAGGAATGGAGAGGGACAGAGAGCTAGAAACATCGTTGAGAGAGAAACATCAACCAGCTGCCTCCTGCACACCCCCTAACTGGGGATGCGCCTGCAACCAAGGTACATGCCCCTGACCGGAATCGAACCTGGGACCTTTCAGTCCGCAGGCTGACGCTCTATCCACTGAGCCAAACCGGTTTCAGCTGAGCTTTTTTTTTTTTTTTTTTTTTTTAAGAAATGTAAAAGGTATAAAAAATACAAACAATAACCAACGCCCCCATTCACACCATCCAGAATCTCTCATTGTAAACACATAAAAGTCCCCGTTAACCACCTCCTCTTCTCAGACAAGCATGATCAGCTGGCTTTCAGCTCTGTGCGCATGTACAGCTATATCTACATTGGCATAGGGTAGGGTTTGTGGGGATTGTTTTAATCACATGGAGGAACTGTCCTGTACTGGGGAGAGGCCTTTGTTAGGGTGGGGTATGGGTGCACAGGGACAGAAGCCTGACCGCCACCCCTGCAGAGCAGCCCTGGGCAGACCCAGCCTGCAGTCTATGCCATACCTGGCTGTTAAATGTTCCAGGAAGAGAGAGAACGACTACTGCTATTTCTCTGGCGAGGTTCCAATCCATTCTCACACCCCTCAAAGCGTTATGCATCTGGGAGGCAGGAAAGGCAATCATTATCTCTGTGTGACAGATGGGGAAACTGAGGCCCAGGGAATGACAGTGAGCTGCCAGTGTGTCCAGGGAGTTGGCAGAGGACAGGTGACTAGAGAGCTCTGGGCTGGGGTTCTTCCTGGAGCCCAAGGCCAGTGTGCAGAGGGGTGGGGCCAAGGCAGGGGGCGCTGGGCGGCTCGGACTAGTGGACTTTGACCAATGGGCAATAAGGAAGAGAAACGGCAATAACTTCAGGTGGCAAAGGCTGGGCCCTGGCCAGGAACTGTGTCTGGGGAGAAACAGGGGGACAGAACTCCCTTCTCGGGGCCTAGAAAACAGGCCCACTCCTGGAGCTATGGCTCCCCAATGTCCCCAGCCACACTCAGACGTCAGGGCTGCCGAAACCAGTTTGGCTCAGTGGATAGAGCATTGGCCTGCGGATTGATATCATGGTTGCGGGCACATCCCCAGTAGGGGGTGTGCAGGAGGCAGCTGGTCGATGTTTCTCTCACATCGATGTTTCTAGCTCTCTATCCCTCTCCCTTCCTCTCTGTGAAAAATCAATAAAATGTATTTAGAAGAAGAAGAAGAAGAAGAAGAAGAAGAAGAAGAAGAAGAAGAAGAAGAAGAAGAAGTAGTAGTAGTAGTAGTAGTAGTCAGGGCTGCCTTCACAGTTAGGCCTGATTCAAGTCTCGGCTCTACCGCTGATGTGTGCTGGGTGGTCTCCGAAGAGCCCTTTACCTCTGCCTCACTTTTCTCCTCTGTAAAACAGTGACAATCTGTCCCTCTCGGGATTGTCCCAGCACTACCTCTCTTGGTTGCCATGTTAGTGCTGTAACTTGCTGTTAGAACAACTTGTCCCTAAGCATCCTTAGAGGCATGTGTCCCTTTGCCCTCTGGGCAAAGACCTGGACGTGGTTTGCTGGGTCACCAGCACAGGCGTTGGACCATTTACCACACAGACGCGTCCTGCCCAGCCGCCCTCGGAGGCGGCCGTCCACAGGGACGCCAGCATCCCGATGCCACCGATGGCTTGGGAACTGTCCCCCTCCCTCTCTTCCCTCACACATTTTTCCTCCCACCTGCACCTCCGTGCATTGGCCCCCTTCAGACGGCGCCCGACAGGGGAGCACCGCCTGACTGTGTGGCCTGTGACGTCACAGGGGCCTCCAGGCCCGGCCAGAGGGCCCCAACCCCTCCTGTGCTCCCTTCGCTCTCCAGAGGCCCTGGGTGTGCTGACCCAGGTGCCAGTGCACAGGGCACGCAGTGGGCGCTGGTACAGCTGTCACCAGGCCGCCCCCGCTTCGGTGGTGCCCACTCTGCAGATGGAAAGGAGCTCAGAGGAGCGAGGGAGCGGGAGAGGGGGTCCTGTGCATATTGGCTGGTTGTCGTGATCAGGGTGAAGGCTGGGATCCTCTTTCTTCTTCCCAGAGAATGAGGCGTGTAGCAGTGGGTGCAGGACAGGGTCTGCCCTTAGGGTGACCCCGGGCAATTGCTTTCTCTTCTGTTCTGGCCTGTTGACCTCTGTCTACAGGGATAGTAATGTCTGCCCCCTAAGCTCGTGGTGAGATTAAATAAGAAAATGCTTTGAGCCGAACCCAGTTTGGTTCAGTGGATAGAGTGTGGCCTGCGGACTGAAAGGTCCCAGGTTCGATTCCGGTCAAGGGCATGTACCTTGGTTGCGGGCACAACCCCAATTGGGGGTGAGATTAAATAAGAAAATGCTTTGAGCCGAACCCAGTTTGGTTCAGTGGATAGAGTGTGGCCTGCGGACTGAAAGGTCCCAGGTTCGATTCCGGTCAAGGGCATGTACCTTGGTTGCGGGCACAACCCCAATTGGGGTTGAGCAAGAGGCAGCTGATCGATGCTTCTCTCTCATGGATGTTTCTAACTCTCTCTCTCTCTCTCTCTCTCTCTCTTTCTCTCTGTAAAACAATCAATAAAATATATTTAAAAGAAAAAAAGAAAAAGAAAATGCTTTGAAAACTCTCTAGAGACCCTTTACAAAGTGCAGCCCTGGCAGGAGCACACAGTAGGGACTTTACCAACCCAGCTACAGAGCACTGAGCTCAGTGCGCGGGGCGGGCGGGCGGGCGGGGCCGGCGCCGTGACTCAGCGGGCGGGCCGGGGAGGCTGCCCAGCCGGTCTGACCGGCCGGACGCGCCGGCCCGGCCTCCCGGGAGGGGCAGGCGCCCGGGGGGTGACGGGAAGGAGGCGGCGGCCGGGCTCCGGCGGGAAGTGGGCGCGGATGGGCGCGCGGCGGCCGCCGAGCAGGATGGCAGCGCAGCCCCCGGGCCGCCCGCAGCGCCCGGAGCCCCGCTGAGCCGCCGCGGGGACCCGCGCGGGAGCCGAGATGTGCCTGCGCCTGGGTGAGCCGCGGGGTGCGCCCGGGGGCCCCGAACCCCCGAGGCTGCGCGGGGCGGAGCGCTGTCCCGGGAGCGGGGAGCCGGAGTCCGGGCCGCTTCTCTGCAGGGCGCTGGGCGCCGGCCTGAGCTGTGCCCGCGGGGATGGGAGGGATGCTGGCTTCTGGTCCGAGCCCCTCCGGCCTCTCCCCACCTCCCTCTCCTGCGGAGGAGGGGACCCCTCCCCCCCAGGCCGAGGGGAGAGCACCCCCCCTCGTCCAGAGGAAGCCAGAGAGGAAATCCGGGCTTGGGAGCTCTGAGCCAGAGGCGCCTGCCTTCCGCCTCCTCGCCCGGCCCAGTGTTCCCACGTCCATTCTCGGGGCTCCCCACCCGGGCTGGAAGGGCAGGACCATGGCAAACAGGACCCTAGAGCAGTGGGGTGGCTGTGCCCCCTGCCCTCGCTCCCGGGCTCTGGGCATCAGGCACACCTGGGGAGTCCTGTGGTCCTCAGCTTCCTCAGCTGTCACATGGGGTGGCAACCCCTCCTTAGGACCACCGTGAGCATAAAGGAGCTCTGAGAGTAAGGTGCCCACCAGGATGCCAACCAGGCCAAGTGCTCCGAGCACGGTGGCTTGGAAACACAGAAGCCAGAGCGTGCCCCAGACTCTCTGCTCGGTGCTCCCCGCATGGCCCTGAGGTGGTGCCTCCAGTCTGACCGAAGGCTTGGGCCTGGGATCCTGCTGTTGTTTATCCCTGATGCCAGGGCCGGCTCAGGGCCCGTGGTATCTGGGTTGCAGGTGGGTGGGTGGATGCAGCGAGGTGGGTCAGGGCCCTGGGACCAAGCTGCTGTGCCCCTTCCTGTTTGACGAGCAGTTAATCTGCCCGACGCCATTCCAGTCCCACATGCCTGTGCAGCCTGTCACCTCCCTCTGACTCTCCCACAGCCGATCCAGCTCCCGCTCCAGCTCCGGCTCCAGCTCCAGGGGGTCCTACAGCCTCTGGGTCCTCAGAGCAGCCAGACCAAGCCCTCCGCGTTCACACAGGAGTGATGGGGCCCGGAGGAGGGGCTTGTGCAGGGTCACAGAGTGTCTGTGCCTGGATGGCCCCATCCGTCCCTGACTCCCGGGAACTGCCTGTTGGCACAGGGACCCCGAGAACAGGGCAGGACGAGCCGCCCGCATGGCCCTGACGCACTGTCCCCCGCAGGCGGCCTGAGTGTGGGTGACTTCCGGAAGGTGCTGATGAAGACGGGGCTGGTGCTGGTGGTGCTGGGCCACGTGAGCTTCATCGCGGCAGCCCTGCTCCACGGCACGGTGCTGCGCTACGTGGCCGCCCCCCACGACGCCGTGGCTCTGCAGTACTGCGTGGTCAACATCCTCTCGGTCATCTCCGCCATCCTGGTATGCCGGCGGGGAGGGGCTGGCGGGGCTGGAGGGGGCCCAAAGCTTTTCGAGGAGTCTCGGCCCGGAGCCCTGGGCGGCACGTAGAGAGCCTGAGCACTCCCCCTGCTCCGCAACTGACCAACGGCACCAGCCGCTCGGCCTCTTTACCTCGGCCTCCTCGTCTGCAAAGTGGGCTCATAACAGCGTCCACCACACGGTCCTCCTGAGCTCCGAACGGGATCGTCCACAGAAAGTGCGGGCACAGTGGCTGACACACCTCAGCCTCACCACTGGGAGCAGGGGTGGTTGTTATCGTGACAAGACGCCATTGGGCGAAGGAAGGAGCTCAGCTGGAGGGGGCTCAGGAGGCCTCGCCCAGGTGGACGCCCCTGAGCTGGGTCCTGACGGACGAGCAGGAATTCCAAGATAGGGTGCAATTGCCATCGCCGGCGTGTGTGGCCAGCAGGTGGTGGAGGAAGCTGGGAGAGCATTCCAAGCACAGAGAATGGCAGATGCACAGGGATGGGGGCGGGAGCAGCTCAGATCTGCTCTGGAGACACTGAAAAGCCAGGCATCAGCAGCTCAGCATGAGGCCTGGTCCACGCTAAGTCCCGGGCAAATGGTGGCCAGGATACACCGGAGGTCAGGACCCGTTTGATGATACGTGAATGAAGGAGCCCGGTATTCTCATGTTCTTCCCCACCTAGTAACACAGGAGGCCACAGCACCAGGCCTTCCCTGCCACCTCCTGGCTAAGGGACTTGTTTCCCCCTGCCCGCCTGCTCCCTCCCCTGCCTGATGAAGCTCAGCCAGCCCAGCGAGGAGAGCACAGTCAGTGGGACGGCTGAGCCCTGCCGATGTGTGCAGCATCCTTTGGAGTTACTATGACTGTCACCAGCCTGGATGGAAGGCAAGGGAGGCCGTGAGCTCAGGGTTATGGCTCCAAGGATGGACCCCTTCCGCTTCACCCTCATTTCCTCATTTACTTCTCACTGTTCTCAGCAAATGGGGCCATTATTATTCTGACCGGGGGAAACCAAGACTCAGGGACTCACCCAGCCTCCTGCTGAAGCAAAGAGGCCCCGCTGGATGTGACACGATGTGTGACACCAAAGCTGGCGTCTTTTCCATAAGCTCATCCTGCAGAGCAGGACGTAGCCCAGAGGGGCTAAGGCACCTGCTCACGGCTGCACAGGGAATTAAAGACGCTGCTGGACGCCCATGATGCCTCCTGTGGGTGCAGCCCCTGCCTGGTACAGTGAGGGGATCTCCGGAGGAAGCTGGCTGAGGGGAGCCCCGAAGACCCGGGGGCAGCTGGGGGCTCACATAGCCAGCTCTCGGGGCTGAGAGAGTGCTGAGTGGACCGCGTCCTGAGCAGGCTGAGTGGACCGCGTCCTGAGCAGCTGTGTGGGTGCCCACATCCGGGGCAGTGAGGAGAGACTTGGCAGGGTGGGGCCGAGCTGCCGCTGGGACGGAGGCCAGGTCACCGAGAGCCTGAGATAACGTGCTCCTAGGATTGTGAATTCTCCATAAAGCGCCCTGATTTGTTTCTTTTGTTCTTAGTTCCTTGACAGCCTAGTTACTGCGTTTCTTCCCAGATCTCTTCCACTCCAGGGAGGCCAGTCGGACATATCCTGGCGCATGGCCCTGCGGCCCGGGATACACAGGTCCCTGTCTGAGACCCACAGCGCTGGGCAGTGGGGAGCCATGGCAGGTTGTAGGCAGGAAGCGATTGTGCTTTGGAAACATCACCCTGGGGGCAGCGCCTCCATGCAGGTCGAAGTCACGAGGCCAAGGCTCGGCAGGGGAGGAGGTTGGCGGGCTCCGGCTGGCATCCGTGGGAGCCTCACCTGCGGAGGCCCTGGCCTCACTGCCCGCTCTCCTCCAGCAGGAGGGTCAGGGCTGACCAGAGTCTCCCCACAGGTCATCACCTCGGGCATCGCCGCCATCGTGTTGTCACGCTACCTGCCCAGCATCCCCCTGGTAGGTGGCGCCTCCTGGGACAGGCCTAGGGGAGGGAGGGGCCTGGCCTGCTTGGAGGGGGTGAGCTGACCCCATGGGGGCCAGGACTGCCCGTGTGGGGTGGAGCCTGATCTCCATTGACCCGTGGCCTCTCCTCCCAGCGCTGGGCGGTCTTCAGCTCGAGTGTGGCCTGTGCCCTCCTCTCTCTGACCTGCGCGCTCGGGCTCTTGGCCTCCATCGCCGTGACCTTTGCCACCCAGGGCCGGGCGCTGCTGGCCGCCTGCACTTTTGAGAACCCGGAACTGCTGGCCCTGGCCCCCGACTGTCCCTTCGACCCCACGCGCATTTACGTGAGTGCTTAGGCCTGGGGTGGGGGTGGGGGGTTCCTCCAAGTGCTCATCAGCGGTGGGAAGGGTTCCTGGAGCCTCGCCCACCCAGCCCCAACCCCGTGGCCGTCTCTGCCCCTGTGTCCCGCAGAGCTCCAGCCTGTGCCTCTGGGGCATCTCCCTCGTGTTCTGCGTGGCCGAGAGCGTGTTTGCCGTGCGGTGCTCTCAGCTCGCCCACCAGCTGCTGGAACTGCGGCCCTGGTGGGGGAAAAGCAGCCACCACATGGTAAGGCCTGCCCGCCCCTCCGCGGCCTTCACTCCCCTCCTTTTCTGGGAGTCCCTGCTGGGCAGCCCCCATGCCTCTGCATGGGGTTCCCGCTTGAGGACTGGGGCGACAGTGTTCTCCCCGGGACCAAAGGGAGGTCTCCCAGCTAAGTCCCCGGCTGGATCCTGCTCCACCCACGGCCCAGGACTTGGGGGATGGGGAGTTCATCTGGGCTCGAATTGGGGGCACTCCAAGGAGACCCAGACCCAGATCACAGCCTGTCTGTCCCCACAGATGCCGGAGAGCCCGGAGCCGGTGGAGAGCCATGACCTGATGGGCGGCCCCAGCTCCGCCCCGCTGACCCTCTGACAGCGGCTGCCTCAGCCACACCCCGTGAGCACGGGGTCCCACAACCACATCTGCACGGTGCCCAGCCGGGACTCCTGAGCTGGCCCGTGAGGGCTCGGTGGCCGTTCCCGGGCCGGGGTGGGGATTGTGAACCCCGCCCCAGCCACCCAGATCTGCACTGAAGTGAGACTTTATTCCGAAGTTATTAAAAAGAACAGACACTCGGCGGAGGCATGCAGCAGGGGAGGGGCTCGGCCGGGCCCGTGCTTTCCCACGCAGGATGGGGGCGGGGAAGGGGGGGCAGTTAGGTGTGTCTGCCCCTGTGTCTTCGGGCCTGTGTTCATCCACGTGCTGAAAGGCGGGCAGGGGTTCCTGGGATTGGGAGGTTTTCCTTTTGCAGCTTGGCCTCCAGCCAGCAGAAGCTGCAGCAGGAAGGGAAGGGTGGCTCAAGGAAGCTTCTTCCTTATCCCCCCAACCCCCCCCCCCCCCCCCGGGATCTCCCCTCCCAATAAAAGGCCTGGCTCCGCACCTGGACTCGGTTCCACCGCTCTCCACCCGGGCTGAGGCCTCCCAGGGAGGGGGCGGGGGAGGGGGAGCTGCCCGGGGTTGGCTGGGGGAGGGCAGGCTGGCCTCGGAGCTGTGCGTGTGGGTTAGGAGGGAGGAGGGTGGAAATTCTAAGATCTAGGTAGGAGAAGGCCAGCTCGGAGGGGAAGACCACGCCAGAGCCTGTCTCCCTTGGCCTCTGGCATTGGGGGGCGCTAACCGCTTGCTTGCTTGGGCCTGGGGAGAACGGCAGGTTTCCTTTTCCATAGGCTCCCCGCAGAGTGCAGACCCCGGGGGCGGGAGGGGAGGCCCATCGGACCCCCAGCCTGGAGACACACAGGGGAGCGGAAGCGGGGAGCCGGGCGGCCGGCGAGGGCGGGAGGAGGGGACCCGGCTCCGCGCTCAGAACTGGGAGGCGCTGCTGGGGTCGCACTGCAGCAGCCGCACGATGGACGGGTCGCTCTTGGCGCCGCGGATGAACTCCTCCAGGGACAGCTTGCCTGCAGAGAGAGGGACAGTGTCTGGGGAGGCGGCCCCAGCGCCGGGAGGCCAAGGCGGGCAGGGCCCCGGGGGGGGGGGGGCGGGGGGAGGCGCCCGCCCCGGCCCTCACCGTCGTTATTCGTGTCCATCTGGCGGAAGATCTTCTCGGTCCTCTTCTCCGGGGTCGACTCGTCCTCCGGCATCTTCATCACCGACGAAACCATCTTGTAAATGGCCTGGGGGTCGGAGGGGAAGGCGGGAGTGAGAGGAGGCTGCCTGAGCACTCCCCACTCCAACCTTCAGAAACGCCCCCAGAGGGGGTCACGGGGGCGCGGGGAACCGGGGGAGGGGGGGGTCGGGAAGGAGTTTCTGGGAAGGTGTCCCAGGAGAGGGGTCTGCAGGCGAAGCCCTGACCGAGTTCCCGGGAGCGCTGGGTGCAAGAGGAACTGCCGACAGAGGGACATGCATTTCCAAAGACCGCGGCGGGAATTTGGGGGTAGCTGAGTGCAGGGGGTGAGCTGAGATGTTGGAAGACATCGGGCTGCAGGTAAGCACGGTTTTAGCGCTGTTTCTGGAAGCTCCGGGCGCCCGAGCAGGGCGGCGGACAGAGGGGCGGCGGCACTGGGCTGCGGTACCCGCTGTGGCCGGCAGGGGGCGCTGGGCCGCCCTGAGGGCTGGAAGGCCGGAGGCTGCATGCTCGGAGGGGGGCGGGGAATGTTATGCAAATAAACGCAAATGAGCATCTGCCGAGGGCGGGGACAGCCTGGACTCGCAAGACCCTAGGCAGCAGTCGCCCACGGGCAGGAGCTCCGAGGCACACCCACGAGGGTTTTTGCGCTAAAAGCACGCAGAGCACGTGGGGCTTGGCCGGTGGTATGGGCTGGAGGAGCGGACCGATCGTCCCAACCTTCCAGCTTTTTGCTACTGAAACCACCTCCAAGAAACCTGCTTCCCTTCGCCCGTACCACACATGTACCCTGCCTCAGATCCGGCTTCAGCCTCCACACTGGTCTCCTCCAGCCTCGTTTCCCTGGGTCTGTCCCCCCCACGCTGCCTCCCTCCGAGAGCTCTTTCTAAACACAGATCTCCCACACCACATCCCCGGCCCAGCGGGCCGCCCCCTCTCCCCAGTCATCCACAGGCCTCCCTCCAGACCTGCCGTGCTCTCAGCGCCTTCTGGATGCTGCCCCACGCTTCTTCTGCTGCCTCCCACTCCCTGCGGCTCAGCTTGCATGCGCTGGCTCAGGGAGTCCTCTGATCCAGGCAGGTCAGGGCCCGGATGCTGGCATGGAGCCTCCTGGGCTTTTCCTTTGGGGACATCTCAGGGGATGCCTTTGTTGGATTGTTCCTAGTCCCCGACATACAAATAAGGACCGTGGACATCTAGCTAAGTGCCCATATCCCCAGAGCTTAGCACAATGCCCGGCGCCTGGCAGGAACTTCCCGTTTGAAAGCCATGGCACCTCCCACTGCCCTCTGTACCAAGTCCAAGCCATTGGCCCTTGGCATTCAGAGTTTTTACAATCTGGTGCCTCTGACCCCTCCACTATCAGGCCTCCCCCGGCAGGTGATTCTGCCACAGCTAAACATGCCTGCACCTTCCAGGTTTCCCGGCATTGACAGCCTCTGCCTGGACACTAACACTAGCTTCCATGTATATGTCAGGTACTTTATCCCTATTTTCCAGATGAGAAATATAGGCTCAGAACGGGAATTAATGGCCGAGACCAGATTAGAACCCGCTTCCTCTTAGCTGCTGGAGAGATAGATGCTTTGGGGTGGTGGTGACCAGCGGGGGCTTTGCCGTAAGGTGGATCTGGAGTGGCGTCCTGTCTCCACCAATCACTCACTAGATAGCCTTAGACAAGTACTGAACCCCCATGAGCCTCAGTTTCCGCTCCTGTAAAATGGGGTAATCGTATCTCCCCTGTGAGGACTGTCTAACGGATTAAGTGAGTTCATGCGTATAGAACAGGGACTGGCTAGAGTAAGTAGTAAACAGCAGCTTGTATAGTCATTGTTACTCATCCACCACATCCTCAGTTCTTCCCTGAACGTCTGTCCCCCGAGTTCCCAGATGCCACCTTTACAACCCTGTCCCCAAGCTGGGCAGCGTGGCCTGCCCACCGGAGTGGGAGCCCCAAGCAGCCCAATGCAGTTTCTTCCCTTCTGGAGTGCTCACCTCCTGACCACAGGACAGGGTCCTGGGAAGGACCCGGGGAGCGCCCCCTTGTGACGCCTCTCCTCCTGGGCCTCCTAATTAATTGTCTGGCATTGCTGCTCACTCACTGTTTCCCTGGAGCTGACTGGTAATTAATCAGGCACCGGGGCCTGCCCAGCTCTGTCTGTGCCGGCCTCTGGGGCTGACTGATGGGCTGTAGTGAGGGAAACCGGGGCCCAGATAGCAGAGGCCAGCCAGGCCGGCCCGAGGATGCCCGGGGAGGGGACTGGCTGGCGCCTCCAGCAGAGCTGAGACTTACCAGTATATACCAGTGCAACCACACCGAGTGGTCAAACGTGAACACCCCTCCACATGGGTTGGTGTCCAGCTGCTGCCTGATCCCTCAGTAATCCTCCACCACTCGGGCCACCTCAACCTGTCCACCAGAACCCCAGAACTCCCTGCAGCCCATCAGCTAGAGACTTAATGCCTGGCCCACGGACATCGTTGACTAAAGATGACCAGACGTCCCGCTTTTGGCGGGACCGTCCCGCTTTTTAGCAATTTGTCCCGCGGCATTTTTTAAAAAGTCCTGATTTTGGGGAAAAATCGGGACTTTTTTAAAATTCTGCGGAACGCAGGACAAATTGTTAGGAATCGGGACAGTCCCGCCAAAAGCGGGACATCTGGTCACTTTATCGTTGACAAACATAAAGGCTTTCCTCTCTTGATAGGCAAAGGGAGCCACCATATCCCAACGCAGCCCGTTCTACTCTAGCTGGAGAGAGTAGGCCTGGGCCCTTAGTGACAGAGACGCCAAGGAGTCCAGCAGGGGCGAGGCGGGCTGGAAGTGGGAAGCGGTCGGCAGAGCTGAGGGAGGAAAAGAAAGAGGCCGAAGGAAAGGGAGCAGGACTGGAGCAGCGTTGTGCCGCAGGATTACCCAGGCACACTCCACGGATGTTGAAAAGGCCATTCTGGCTGAAGCAGAGGATGTGCAGAGGAGAGAATCCTAACGTTTCCCAAGTACCAGCTGCCTGCTGGGCCTCTGCCAGAGTCCTCACCCACTTCATACCTCTAGCAGCCTTGAGGGTTAACGTCCTCACTTTCCAGGTGGAGAAACAGGAGCTCAGGACAAGGAACCGGAGCGGTAAAAATAGAACCGGAGCCCTGATGGCCTTTAGTGCTGGACTGAGGGGATGGACACCCTGAAAGCTTTTTGAGATAAAGCTAACATGTCGCACTCAATTTGTATTAAAATAGTATTCTTATCAGGCCCTACATTCTCCCTGTAAGATCAGAATCACCATCCCTATTTTTCAGGTGAGCAATCTAAGAGTTGATTCCAACTCCAGAATTGGAAGCCAGACCTTTTTCAAGAGGTAGCTGAGTGGTAGCCAGCTTGAGCTTGACCCCCACCCCCCTTATATGCTGTGTGACCTTGGACAAGTCACTTCACCTCTCTGAGCCTCATGAGGCCATTGCAAAGATGCACAGAGCTTGTGGCCATATGCATGAGGCTATCAGAGAGCCCTGAACTAATTATAAGTTGGATTGTGGCTGGGGATCCAGATGGAATGTGGACTGTGAATCCAGGTGGCCCACTCACTGGCTGTGTGGCCTCGAGCAAATGTCTTGACCTCTCTGAGCATCTGTTTTCTCTTGAGTAAATGAGGAATGATTAAACATAACTGGCCTGAACTCTGCAGGAATGTCAAATCTTGAAAGACAAAGAAAGGCTGAGAGCTGTTACGGACTAATGGGGACTGAAGAGACATGAAAACAAAATGCAATGTTGTTTCTCGCATTTTGCTGGAGGTCAGGGCAAGAAGAGTATCATGAAGACATTAGGCAACATTGGAAGATGGTCTGTACATTAGACAGCAACACTGCTTCTATGTTAAATGCCCTGACTCTGGTGTTCATATTTGGGTTATGTATGAGAATATCCCTGACTTAGAGAATGTATCCCGATGTATTTGGGGGTAAAGGGTCCTGTTTAGAACAACAGAACATTGCACACGCGTGCACATACACAGTGGTAAAAAGCAATCATGGTCAATATTAATTGGTGAATCTGGCTAAAGGATTTCTGGGAGTTTCCTCAACTTTTCTGTAACTTAGAAAATATGTCCTAATTAAAGAGCTTTTTAAATAAACTGATTTCCATGTACTGGATGCCACGAGAGCTTCTTCAGTGGGCTGTAAGAAGAGCGCTTGCTACCCCCTCCCCGCAGGGCTGCCGAGAGGCTAAGGGGGGCGGGGCGCGCTGCTGGGCCCTGCACCGCACCCAGGGCCCGGCCCACCTGCACGATCTCCAGCATCTCCTCGCGGCTGATGTAGCCGTTGCCGTCCAGGTCGTACATGCTGAAGGCCCACATGAGCTTCTGCTCCAGGCGGCCGCGCGAGGTCACGCTCAGCGCGATGATGAACTCCCGGAAGTCGATGGTGCCGTCGCCGTTGGTGTCGAAGGTGCGGAAGACGTGCTCGGCGAACTTGGAGGCGTCGCCGTAGGGGAAGAAGTTGGCGTAGATCTTCTTGAACTCGTCCACGTTGAGGATGCCGGTGGGGCAGTCCTTGAGGAAGCCCTTGTACCACTCCTGCAGCTCCAGCTCCGTGAACTCCGTGTTCTCCCGCAGGTCCTGCAGCATCTCCGGCCGCAGCTTGCTGTTCTGCTTGCCCATGGCCACGGAGCCGAGTCCTCCCTAGATTCCCCCGAGAATCAAGGAATGGAGAAGGGGGTGTCAGGCCCTCCTGGTCCCGTGACACCACTCCAGGGAGCCCCCAAACACCAGACACCCAGCCTCTCTTGGACTCAGTGAGAGAGGAGTTGGCCCAGGTCACACAGCCTGCACCCAGCACCCTGCCTGCGTGACAGGCTCCACACCGTTTTCCCAGACCTCCCCCTTCCCCAGGGAACAGGCCTGGAGACGGGAAGGGCAGGGGCTGACATTTACTAGGGCCCTGCTCGGGGCCAGCCACAGACATGCACCACTTCACCCTCCCAACGCGAACCTTGGGATTGGACCCATTTTACAGATGAGAAGACAGGATCAAGAAAGTGAGGTGACCTGGTCCAAGTGACACAGCCATGGAGTCACAAGACTGACTCCCAGGGGGGTGCAGAGCGGCCTTCTAGTCCTCCTCCCTCCTCCCCACGGCCCCCTCATGGTCTCACATGTGTCTGATCACCACAAAACACACCCGCAGCCCACCCACCCGCCTGTTCTCCCACGCGCTTGTGCCCAACCGGGGGTGGCATGCGGTAGATGGGCTCCGGAGCCAGACCACCGGGGCTTAAATCCCAGCTCTGCCTCTTCCTGGCAATGTGACCTTGGACAATTTCCCTAAACTCTCTCTGCCTCGTCTGTAACGTGGGGATAGTAGCACTTACCTCATCAGGGTCAATACATGGGAAGCATTCAGACTGCACATCTAAGTGCTAGGTAAGTGTTAAGTAAATAAAAATGATTTCCATGTACTAGATGCCACAAGACTTGTGCACAATACACAGATGAATGCATGCTGACATATGACACACAGCTCACCAAATCCATGTGCTGGGTCCCAGGCCTCTTACCAGCCCACGCCCACCCATGGGTCACCGTGCCTCCACACAGGACAACATTCCCTCTGCTCCGCACCTCACATGTGAGGTCACGGGGCACCACGCATGCACAGCCCCCAGACCTGTCCCATCACAACACACCAGCCCACGATCCCACATGCCATCACAAGCACCTCGCATGCCGACCCCGCTCCTGTGGCCAACTGCACATGGGCCCGCAGGCTCCCTGCAGCCCTTCTCAGCCCTACGATGGGGCCCTCCTCCGGGGAGACCTGTGGCCAGCCCCCCCCCTCATCCCCCCCAGCACTCACCTTGCCTCTGGTCCAGAAAGGTCCCCTCGGTGCAGGAGCTCAGAGTGTGGAGGGCCGAGGGGGCAGCCTCGGAGAGGAGACGGCCAGGCAGTTCTGGGCAACGATGCGGGGTACCTGCAGGTGAATCTCCCCAGCTTCCAGGCTGTGAGACAAGGCGAGGGGGTTCCTGGTGTGTGACTTTGCAGGAAGCCCTGTGCACATGTGGGGGAGCATGTGTGTGAGTGCGTGTGTGCCAGCATGCATGCCTGTCCCGGGTTTCTATGCTGCATGCGTCTCCCCATGTGTTTCAGTCCCTCTCTGTGCATGTGCATGTGACTCGGTATGCACCCATCACAGCGAGAGGAGCTGTGCTGTGTGGCCATTTGGGGACCTGTGTGCGCCCTCAGCAGTGGCTCATGTGCGTGTTTCTCTAAGTTGGCCGCCCTCCCTCCCAAACCTGCCTCCTCTGCCCGAGCCGAGGACCACAGAACAAGTGTGTGGGAGGGGACTGGGGACATGCCTGCTGCTGGGGGGCCGGGTGCGTCCCCTAGTCCCTTCCTCAAGGTCCAGGGAACTGGGTCATGGGGTGGGGGCAGACAGAGGCGCTGGGCAGGAGCCGTCTCCCAGTGCCCCTTCTCCCCTGCACCCTCAGAGCCGCCCCTCCCGGTGAGGACGTGGACATGACGGTGGGAGAAAATTCTGCTGTTTCCCATAGACCCCCAGCCCCCAAATGGGGAGGACTCACGGCTGGACCTGAGGAGCCTGCGGGGGGACCCTCCCCGGACCTCCCCGCGGCTCTGCCCGGAGCCCCCGCCTCAATCCTCCAGCGCCGGGCGAGCGGCCCCTCCTGGAGGGGGCGCTCCGCGGCGGCCGGAGCCAGACTCCTCCGCGGCCACGGAGGTCAGGACCCTGGAGAGCTCCGCGCTCCCCCGGGACCCCCGCCCGCACCCGCGCCCCGGAGGGCGGGTTCCGGGCGGCGCGGGAGCGGCGGGGCCGGAGCCCGCCCTGGACGGGCCCCTCCTGCCGGCTGCCCCTCCCGCGCCCCAGCCCGGCCCGAGCGGCCCCACTCACCGGCGACGCGAGCTCCGACTGCGCAGGGAGGCGGCGCTGCGGCGGCGACAGAGGCGCCGGAGGGCGGGCGGGGGGCGGGGGGAGGGACTGCGAGGGAGCCGCCCCGCGGCGCTGGCCCGGGCCCTCCCCTGGGGTGGGGGTCCCGGCTGCTCCCTCTGCCCTCCAGCCCCGGGGGTTCGGGACCAGCCTCCGCCCCCGTCCCTGCCCCGGAGAGGGAGGGGGCGCCCTCACTCCCCACCCCACCCCCCAACACCAGGGAGCACCCGCCGGGGAGGGGGACCGAGGTCCATCTCTTCAGCATCTCCATCAGGTAGCCTGGCTGGGTGGCTAGAGGTCAGTGCCCAGACCCCTCTCTCCTAAGCCCAAGCACCCCATTATCTCCCCCACGACCACCACCGCACTTCACTGCCATCCCCCCATCCCTACCTGGAGCCGCACGTCAATCCGGATCCTGGAGGTGCGCTAATTGCCCTGCTGCCCCCGCGCCTCAACCCGGGACTGAGCAGAGGGTTCTCCAGGAGGGGGCAGGCCCGCTCCCCCACCTCCGCCTTAGAGAACAGAGTGCACCCCCATATCCTGTCTGACACTCCACATCTCCTCAGAATCAATCCCACCTTCCAGCCCTGATCTAACGAGCTCCTCCCACTCACCGCCCCCTTCAAGGAAACCCCTGCCTCCCTCCCAGCCTGGGCCTGTGCGGGCTGCGGGCCATCTCTCTCCTGCTTGGGGGGTTCTGAGGTGCACGGGCCCAGCCTCAGCAATAAGCTCTACGTCCTGAGCTCAGATTCTGTCCTTTCTCCATCTCTAAGGGGTGGTCCCTAGTGTCTCCACTTCACAGATGAGGAAACCGAGGTTCACATGGGCTGAACGACTTTTCCAGTGTCTGACAGCAGTGAGGAAGGTTTGGACATGAATCCATGTGCCCTCAAGCACTCATTGCACCTACTTATCAAGCCGAGTCTGTGCCCGGCACTGCTCCAGGCAGTGGGGGTACAGGTGTGGACAGTAAACAATGGACACCATAGCGCGGCCAGTGTGGCTCAGTGGTTGAGCGTCAACCTATGAACCAGGAGGCCACGGTTTGATTCCTAGTCGGGGCACATACATACCTGGGTTGCAGGCTCCATCCCCAAGTGTGGGGCGTGCAGGAGGCAGCGGATCAATGATTCTCTCTCATCGTTGATGTTCTCTCTCTCTCCCTCTCCCTTCCTCGCTGAAGTCAATAAAAACATATGTTTAAAAAGCAATGGACATGATATACAAATCAAGCCCATCGTGCATTAGATAGGTTTGGGGGACGTGGAGGTCGGTGTGCAGAGGCTGGGATGTTGGCAGTGCTTCGGACCACGCCCAGGACTTTAGGGTTTTTTGTTTTGTTTTTAATATATTTTACCGATTTTTTTACAGAGAGGAAGAGAGAGGGATAGAGAGTTAGAAACATCGATAAGAGAGAATCTTCGATCAGCTGCCTCCTGCACACCCCCCTACTGGGGACGTGCCCGCAACCAAGGTACATGTCCTGGGCCAGAATCGAACCTGGGACCTCTCAGTCCGCAGGCCGATGCTCTATCCACTGAGCCAAACCGGTTCCGGCAGGACTTCGGGTTTTATTCCCGATGAGATGCTCGGGGCTTTGAGCAGGGAGAGGGTCTGGCGTCCAGGTCCAGCCTGCGCAGGGCTCTGTCAGGAACAGACTTTGGGGATGGGGCGCCCCAGCGGGAGCCAGGGGCCAACTCAGGCTAAACGATGAGCAGGTGACACAGCAGGGGCTGGTTTCCACGGCATCTGCCTTCTGACTGGACAACTCCTCCCAATTCTGTGGCCGCGGCCTGGACCCTCCCGGCTGCCAGGGCTCAGACCAAAGCTCCACCTCCAGGCTCCCAGGCGGTCAGTCTCTCCTTCCTCCGGGAGCCGGGAGCCGGGAGCCGGGCTGTGGGAGACGGGAGGGCAGCTGGGCCTGGGAACACCGGCTCCTGTGTGCCTTGGCACCGGTGTTGGGACCCCCTGGCGGAGGCATGAGAGACGCCAGACATGTGTGGGTGGTTCCCAGCTGCCTCCGGCATGAGGACCTGGGGGTGGGGAGAGGCTTGCTGCTCAGCCCCCACCTCAGGCCCTCTGAGTGACAGGCCCTCTCCCCCCACCCCTCCTCCTCTCCCACCTGCCTGGAGCCAGACTCTCCCCTTCCCCTCTAGGTCCTCTCCCATCCTATGGTCTCAGTTTACCCTCACGTGGGCTGCTCAGCCACTCCCTGCTCCCTCCCACTTCCCTGCCACAGCCCCACCTCCTCCGGGCGGCTCCTCAGCTCAGCTCCTTTCCTCCGTTGGGCTCCTAACTCAGCCTCTCAGAGCCCACTTCTCCCAGCCCCGCTGTCTTCCTGCCCTGTGAGGTGCCCTGCCCAATGCCCTGCCCTCAGGACCCGTCTGCACCTGCCTCCCCAGTGGGGCTTCTGCAGGCGGGACTGTGGCTTTCCCTCGCCCTGCGTACCCCACCTCCCTGTGACTTTCCCTGCACCTCCCGTGAGGAGGTGGACCTGGAAACAGAGTTTGGGCCCTGTAGGCTCTGCTGGGAACTTCCCATCAGCCCCTTCTCCCTCCATGGAAGCTCTGGGAGGCCTCTGTGAGCAAAGGGGGAAGGCCTCGTGCCCTGAGATATAGCCCAGAAAGGGGAGCAGAGGGGCAGTCGTCAGAGGCCTGGACACCTTCCCCTTTCTGAGCAGAAAGGTTAGCAGGTCAGCTGGGTGCCAGGCCTTTCCCAAGCCCAGAGCACTGACAAGGAGGCCTCACGCACTGCCTCTCCGCCCTCGGCCTGGGATTGTGGGCATGAGCACACACAGATGAGGCCCCAGCGGTCCTGGAACCCTGCCAGCGAGCCTTCTATGGGGTGGGGTGGGGATGGGGGTGGGGGTGTTCTTGCTGATGACACTCAGCCCCTTGCACCCCAGGCTGAGGCCTCCAGGAGGGAGAAGAGGCCGGTCTAGGGTAGATGTAGAGGCCACTTCTCCCGCCCCGCTGTCTTCCTGCTCTGTGAGGCTGACCGGTGCCCCGCCCTCAGAACCTCCTGCACCTGCCTCCCCCATGGGGCTTCTGTAGGCGTGGCCATGGGAGACAGAGTGAGGGCCAGTCCCAGCATCTGACCGGTGAGGAGCTGAGCAGTCAAAAGCCAAATGCAGAGTGGCTGCCCGCCCTGGCACTGACTGGATCAGACCAGCTCCCAGGGTGCCAGAGAGAAGCAGGGGGGCGTGAGTGGAGCGAGGACCACGCAGCTCTGCGCACCTGCGTATGCGGAGCGCTTTGCATGTGTCACCTCATTTGATCGGCACTCATCCTGAAGAGTCGCTACTATGAAGCCATTTTACAGATGTGGAGACCGAGGCCTCCGAGAGAAGTGAAGTCGCCAATGTGAGGAAACACAGCAAGAAGGCGGCTGTGTCAGCATCGGAACCCAGTTCTGTCTGACTCAGGAGCTCAGCACCCCTCCCGCCCCCAAAGCGGGGAGGTAGGCAGAGGTAGGCCCTCCTCACCCCCTCACAGGCCCAGCCCCCACCCTCCCTCTTTGGCTCCAAACGGTTTGGAAAATCCTGACGGGAGCAGATGGTGGGGACAGATGGAGGGAAAAGCATCTCGGGGCTGAATTACAAAAACAAACATTGATAACGTGATTAAAACCTCAAACCACCCTTTTCCAGAGGGCCCTGCCTCCCCCCGCCCGGGGCACGGTGGACCCTGAGACGGGCCGGGCTCTCTGGACGCCCAGCAGCGTAGCCCGGCTGGTCCCAGCTTCTGCCCGCCCCCTCGCCGCTGGGGACACCGCGGGCCAGAGCCCAGGTGGCAGCCTGCGGGAGGGAGACAGCCTGAGCCTGGCTGTTCCCCGGAGGCTGGGCCGGAGGAACAGAGGGGGCGGGGGTGTGGGGGGGAGTCCTGGGGGCGCGGACCACCTGAAGGCAGGGGCGAGAGGGGCGAGCTGGGGTCCCTTGAGTGGGTCTTGCTTTGTAGATAAGGCTCAGGGGCTGCCATGCCTCCCAGGTCAAACCCTGGCCCCCACCCACCCCGCGGTGCAGAGGGGCAAGGCCAGGGGGCTGCGGCTGTGAAATGGGGAGG